CCATGGTGGTGATGGCCACCAGCATGGCACAGCTGCCAGCCCCATCTCCCTTCCCTTGGCCAGGCCCTTTGCTAGACACAGGCCACTTCTGGGCTGGCCCACAGCTCTTCATTTCTCTGTCTTTGGGGCTGGCAACGTGGGAAAATTTGAAAGTGATGTGAGTAATTTCACTTGACTGCGGCTCGGTTCCCCAGCGAGGCTGGAAACCACAGTGCTCACCCTGGCCACCAGCTCCTGCTGCTCCTGCTGCTCCTGCTGCTCCTGCTGCTCCTGCTCCCTGCAGCCTGCTCCAGCCTTCCTCAGCACAGCCAGGGTCGTGGATCCACCAGCTCCTGCTGCTCTTGCTGCTCCTGCTCCCTGCAGCCTGCTCCAGCTTCTCCTCAGGGTCATGGATGGGGCCACCAGCTCCAAGGGTCACAGAGGGGACCTTCCTCTCCCTGCAGGCTCCTGTGCACCCATGGATGGACAGTGGCTCCCCCAGTGCAGGGTTTTCCAGCAGTTTGAGCTCTTGGGATGTTGGCTGATGTTCTGGGAGCTGTGGTTTGTGCAAGGCAGGCAGCACTCCGGTATCCTCCATGGGGAGCACAGCACTTCCTGAAGTCACTTCCCCAAAGGAAATTTTACAGTATGAAATTTAACATTTTTCACTATTGGAAGGGGCAGTAGAGTTGAACTGCTTTATTTTAGTTCTGAATTGTCTTCTACTAGAAAATTACTTAAAGTCATTCCCATCCATAAAAGCAGCAGTGGAGCCCAGCACTGGTGGGATGTTGGGATCCTCAGCAGCCCCCAGGCAGTGTGGTGTGACCACCTCTGCTTTTAACAGCTGTGTTCAGTTGTAGCAAGGAATACTTCTCACAGGTTACAAAACATCCTCTTTTTTTTTTCATTTGCTTCTTTTCCTAAACTGATCCAAGCAAAAAAAAAGAAAAAAAATCTTTTTTTTTCCTACAATATTTTCAGAGTTTAAAAGTCAAAGAGTTTTATCAGCCATGGAAATTTTCTAGTTTGATCATTTCACTCAAATTTTGACTTTTGGCCTTCTATGCTACATTTTTTTAAGGTTAGCTTTAAAGTTTAACTGAAAAACTCTCCATCAAACCAGCAAAGTAAAACTACTCATTTTTAGCATGTCATGACTAAATAGATAAGTTTTTAAAACATTAATTAAAATACTTGCTAACACAAGGTGCTTTCCAGAAAATGTTTGATTATAATCTCATACCATTCTCTAGTGAAAACCCCACATTTTGATTAAAATCATTCATAGTTCTGATCAACTTGTATAACCCCACTGCTTCGTGTGGCCAGAGCATGTGTGATGGAGATTGGGAGCAAAGGCAAAGGATGCTGAGCCTGATCAGGCCCCTTGGAGCCCAAATACACTGAAACCCCAGTGGTGAGGGTGATCCTTCTATGCAATATCCACTGGGTTTGCATGTGCTCAGAGGACAGACAGATTTCTGTCTGGCCTTAAGATCCCATCACAATCACCCACCCAGGCTTGACTGGGGAGATCTAATTTTGCATTGCCAACAGTTAATCTTTCTTAGTAATTAATGCTACTGTCTTTTCTCTTTGCTCCTCCAATTACCTCTGGTTATTAAAGTCACATCTTGGCTTCAAGGAGGGATCTTCTTCCCTCGTAGCATTGGGTTTTTCAGTCATTTTCAGGGAGGTTGGTGGGATGGTTGGTCCTGGGAGAGGAATGCACTGCAGCATCAGTGCCTGGCCCAGCACACAGGGCAGGAGGGGGCAGTGCTCACATGGGAGCTGAGCACTCAGCAGAGCTGCAATTTAGCAAATTTGAGAGAGGAGGAAAAGTCCTTCAGGCTTGCAAACCCCATCCTGCTGCTCCATCCCTTCTGGAAATGCCATTCTGCAGTTGCTGTAAATGTGTCTCCTCATTTCTGCACAAGGCCATGGCTGCACAGATCATTCCCCAACCTGTCCTCAAGGGGCTGTGCTGGAAGAGGTGAGGCAAAGCTGTCCCTGGAGCCCCTTCAGGTCCCCCCATGGCTGCTGAAGGACAGGAGGTGACACATTGGTGTTGGGGCCATGATGTTTGGCACCAGCAGCGTTATTTTTGGTGGTTGGGTAGCAAGCAGCTCTGTCACTGCAGCTCTGGGCTGTGTTGAAACCCGAGACAAAATGAGATGCTTTACCAAACCACAGCACAGCTCCTGTGATGTCCTCAGCAGCAGCACCCACTGTCCTCCCAAGGGGACCTTCTGAGGGAGCACCAAACCACTGTCCCGTGTCACTTCAATCCTCCTTGGACAAAATATTTGCATCAGGGCAACTTTATGGCATGAAACATTGTCTGTTGCTAAGTCCTGGCTTTGAAAAGCCTCTTCAAGGTTCATGTGCTGCAGCTGATTTGCAGGAACACAATCTAGACTTTGCAAAAAATGGGGAATTGATCCTGTTTCTCTGGCATGTGGATTTCTGTAAGCCAGGTATGGTTTCACAGTGCAGCTGGGGGAGACCAGGAGCTGCAGTCCTGGCCATGGGCCACAACCATTGGCTGCTGCAGCCTTTGAACCAGGATCAACATGGAGTTTTTCTCTATTTCTCCATATTTTTGTGCAGCATTTCCTTCTTCCCTTAATTTTGGGACATGGGTTCCTGTAACAAACTCCCTAATGGAGGAAGTGGGTAGGGGGATAAATAGCCCCTTGCAGAAATTTTTGTCTCCTTGCTGGCCATCCTTCCCCACCAGATCTTTATGGCTTTAGAGAGTAGAGTAGTTTTTGAGTGAGGCAGGGGGAAATGTAGAAGGGTCATGGGGAATGCAGCTCTTCTTACTGGTGCAGCATGTTGTTTGCCATCTGAACTGGTGGAAAAACTGAATAATTGAGCTGCAAGTCTTGTTGTACCACCAGGTTACACCTGGACTGTCGAATCTCAGAATGGTTTGAGTTGGAAGGGACCTTAAAAATCAAACCTTCCAATCCCTTGTCTCCTGCCATTGTTCACAGTCATCAGTCAGCCAGGCTGGCCGCTGAATGGTGCTGTGCTTTGGATCAGGCATGAGGCAAATGGGAAAGAAAGATCTGCCCTACTTTGAGCAGAAGAAATGCTTGAGTTGAGGTTTTCAAAACTGCTCAACATTGAGATTGTTCTGCTCCAGTGTCATGTTAGAATGTACACGTAGAACTGCATATCCCTCATTTAGGCTTTGTGGCTCTTAAATAAGCTAAACCATAGCTAATTTTAGAAATATCACTGAAAAGCTCTTCTTCATCTCATTTCATGGCTGAGAATAGAAAGAGCTCAGAGCTCCAAACATGTGTTTAACTAAGCAGGAACCAGCCCACTGCTGCTCTTGATGGGAAAACCACATAAGCCATGGCCCTGCTGCAGGACAGGAATGTTCCACACCAGTTTGTGCTGGGAAGGGGGATTACATTCCCAGTACCCCACTGAATGCAGTAAATCTACACCTGTTAAGCACCAGGAATTAGGGTTTTCATTCATTCTCAAATGCAAACCTGCGTGCCTCTTGGTTTTTATTTGCATGAGCAAACCTTTGTGGGAAAGGCAGATGTAAAGCAGCGTCTCCATCGGTCTGTTTGCTTTTCCGCTTCATGGGTTTCCTCCTCAGAGCAGGGATGCAAAACACAGGACTTGCCCAGGGTTCTCAATGCCCTTGGAGCAGCCAGGAAGGGTCTGGGATAGGTTTATCAGAGCCACTGTCTTTGTCTGTGCCTCCCTCACCAAAGCCAGCCATAGCTTTGTGCTCATTCTGCCTGAGCAAAATCATTACCAAAGTGGAAGGCACCAGTGAGTTGAGTCCAGGGACCCTACATGACTTGTCAAAAGTCACACAGCAAATCATCTGTAGACATCCCAATGAGACTACTGAAAACTGGCTGGCCAGCTCCTAGCCCCTGGAGAGCTGTCTGTCCTGCTCAGTTCCCAAACTGACCCTGTTCTGGAGTGCTGTTAGTCCTGGTTTCTTTTGTGGATTTATCTACCTAACATTCCACCACCAGGATGAAGTCAGTTTGGATTTAAAGGCAGCCATGGGCGAAACTGGGCATGTAGGAAACAGCACGAGACGCTCGAGGCGAGGAGGCTGCGTCGAAGGCAGAGTGTGTGTAGAAGGCAGAGTGTCTGTGTGTCTGTGTGTCTATGTGTGCTCCTTGCTGCTGTGCAGCTCTTCCAAGCAGCTTCCCCTCTCTCTTCTCCAACACACAGGAGGACTTCCTGTTGTGTTCACCAAAAAGGGCATTTTCCAAGGTGTTGGGCTCTGACAGCATGCTGCACGTAACGAGCGCAGCTACAAGAGGAGACAGATTTTTATTTGCTTACTTTTCCTGGATTTTTTGCATCTCCAGCATTACCTCAGCTCCCTCTGGTCCTTATCCAGCACTGGAGCTCAGTCCAACCGGGATTTCAGCCCAAGGGCTAACTGGTGACCATGTCCTGTTTTCAAAGACATTACCCTCAGTGTTTAATGGTGGCCTTGGCAGTGCTGGGTTAGTGGCTCTATAAAGTCTTTTCCAACCTAAATGATTCTGTGATCCTGTGTCTGTCCTTGCATGGCTGCCCTGATTAAGAAAGCCCAAACATGACTTCCACAGTGAATATGAAGGATTCACTGTGAAAGTTCAGATTTAGACTCTGTGGTAGTCCAGGACAGAGAACAAGAGCTTTGCATTGGGTAACTTGTAGCATTCATCCTGGAGTAAAAGATACTGGCAATGAATGGAAAAAAAAGTTCTGAACTCTGAAAACTTCAAGCTGGTTTGATCTCTTTTCCACTTATCCAAGAAATCATCTCCAGCTGTTTTCCCTGCTCAGTTTATAGATTAGGTTTTGGCGGTTTTTTTGCAGGATACTGCAGTGTTTGTTTAGTAATTTGCTTAGTGTTTGTGTAGTGTTTTTAGCTATTCCCAGCCTTGCTGGCAACAGCAGGACTGCAGAGGGCACTGGCTGTCCCTGCTGGTGGATCCTGATGGTTTCTGAGTCCTGTCCGTGGTTGTGTCTTGCAGTCCAACAAAGTTCCCGTGGTGCAGCCATCGCACGGAGTGCACCCGCTCACCCCGCTCATCCCCTACAGCAACGAGCACTTCAGCCACGGCTCCCACTCCCCCCACCTGCCTGCTGACATCAACCAGAAACAAGGTAAGGCCACCACTGGGACCTCTCTGCTGGGAGGGCGGCTCAGCTGGAGACCACTGAGGCTGGCACCCTCCTGCTCCCAAATCTATGAGAAAAATCAGCACCTTTGGTCAGCTTATCAGGAGGAGATTATTTTTAGTTTATTGGCAATGCTTTGTGATCTGGCCATGAGCAGTTTGATACCAAAAGTGCCAGCCCTGCTGATGGAGTGTGCTCAGTTCTCTGTGCAAGCTGTCCTGCACCTTGAGACCACACCAGAGCCTGCACGACAATGCACAAGAGTCAACCAGAAAATGGAAAGTAATCTTTCCTTTGACTCATACCCAAACTGCTGTCAGGTTGTCATTTTGAGAAAATAAATGCTTGAAACAGGAAATATTTTGACTAAATGGGATTGGTGTCTGATAGTTGACTGGACTGTGACATGTGTGTCCCCGTAGCCACATGTTATGTGGTTGTCACCTGGTTTGGCTTTTTGTGTTCCTGTGTGAGCCCAGGCTGTGTCAATTGGCTCATGAGGCTACAGAGGAAAGTACAGTATGTTGAGGTTAAACCTTCTAAAATAAACTGTAAATACAAGTATGTGTTGAGGAATTCACCCCAGTCCATCATTCCATCATTCTTCATGGGTTCCTGGCAAACTGAGTGTAAAATCAAACTTTCCTCAACCTTACCTTAGTGCAGAACATCTGTTCAGATTACCCAGTTTTTTACACAAACCTGGGCTTGATTTCATGGGAAAGCAAAAAAAATCTGACAGTTTTGTGTCAAACTGCATTCAGGAAGGAGCAGTGTCTGTCAGAACCCATACGCCAGTGCCAAAACAGAGGCACAAAACTAACTGTTGTGATGTGGGCAAAGGCCTCCATCCAGGAGTGATCCCAACGGTCCCAGAGGCATCAGCTTCACCAAGTTAACATCACTGATAAAACAATGGGTTATTGAGGATGCTCTTGGCAGGAGGACCCACTAAATAATCCCTGGTCTGAACCTAGAGGTCACATTCTGGACTCATCAGGGCTGCTGATGGTGGGGTTTAGGTCTGGAGGTCACATTCTGGACTCATCAGGGATGCTGATGGTAGGATTTAGGTCTGGTGTAAGGGATACCCAGGCACATCCTGGTTGTCTTCCAGGCAACACACTGCTTGTGAGCCATCAGAGCATAATAAACTCAGCAGAAAAAAAGAAAGAGTTAACAAAATGAACCTACTGAAAGCTCAGGTAATGAGTTGAGTCTGACGGAAAGTGTGCAGGAAGGCAGCCCAGCACACCTTCCCCCTTGCTGCCTTTGCTGCACCTGGCAGAGCTCTGCCCCTCCCAGAGCTGCCTCCTGGACTCACTGGCAGCCTGGGAAACCTTAAGTGGTACAAGAGCTGCTTGCCCAAGGGCAGAGCTGGTTGTACCCCTCTGTGGAGGCTACAGCTGGCACTGGAGCAGTCCCTGAGCATTCAGCTCTGCTGTGGGTCAGTCATTCCTGGACACTGTCCTTGGGCTGCCCACCTGGCCCTCAGTGCAGGCACTGTCCACATTCCCATTTGTCCTGTGCTTCTACAGACACAGGGAGTCTGTTTGTCCCACAGATCCACCTCGTGCAATTCAAGGAAAGGTTCAGCCCACAATGCTCAGCTGGGTCTTGCCTTTGTGGTGCAGCTGTGATCACACATGCCCCATGCCTGCACTGCTGGGTGAGGGTTTTCTCCTGTGTTCATCCTGGATGTGCCCCATCTGTGTTTTCATCACTGAAACAGCTCCCACTACCACCCAGTGTAAGTGCTTGAGAGGCACTCTCATACTCATTCTCCCAGCATCCCTTTAAAGTTTCTCACAGTAGCCCAAGGACACACAGACCAGGAAATACAAGCAGGAATTCTGAGTCAGTGGCTGGTGGCCCAACCACTGGGCCAGCAAGAATAACTTGTGCTCTGACTTATGCAACTCCTGTTGTTGGGGGTGCAGATCTGAGGATGTTCCATCAGCTGCCTTGGGCAGGCCTGCTTTTGTTTGACCCTCCATTGGCCACTGAGTCCCACTTGAAGGAAATCTTGTACTAGGTTAAAGATTCCTGTCAGGTCAGTTATGTATTTATTTTAGCTGACTCCTAATAAAATGCAGTTGGTATCATTCCTAATTAATAAGGGATCATTCAAACACCTAGGAGAAAAATCCAGTTGCAGCTGCTTGCTGCTCATCACCAATTTAGTCCGTGCATTTATCATCCGGGATGGCAACTGGATAATCCCTGTTCCCAGTTTTTGTCTGAGGCTCAATAGCAGCCATCACTGCCCTGGGATGCTGTCAGAACTCAGCACCCCTCCAGTTCCCAGTCCAGGGGTCAGCTGGGGGCTGGCTTTGCCAGCAGCACCGTGGTTGTCTGAGTCCCACCCACAGCTCCAGGCAGCACAGGATGTTTTCCAGCCCAGCTAGGAAGGGAGCAGTGCTGCAGCCCTGTCCCCTGGCCATGCTGCTGTGCCAGAGGCTTTGAAGATCACACAGGGATTCCCCATGCAAAGGGTGAATTCCCAGCTGGCACCATACCCACCTCCATAGCTCCTTGGCACCCACAGAGCTGCAGAACAATTGTTTTGAACTCAAATTGCTTAAAATTAAGTTGGAAGTGATGCCTGCTGGAACATCCCTGCTGCTCATGGGGGGTCCTGCAGATGACTGATGGAAAGGGAGCACAGGAATGGCTTTGACCATCCACTGAGCACCTGAGTGGGTTCTCTGGGAAAGGCAGAGGGATGCCTGGAGTCAGCCAAATCCTTACCAAAGCTCCTTGGCCTCAGGGTGGCATGGAGCAGCTGTGATGCTTGTGCAAGAGCAAGATGTCTCCGCCACCCCCCCTTATGTCTGTGATTTTGCAGCAATGTGGGTGACCCACCACATCCCCACAGAGGGAACACCGCCCTGCAGATGGTTATTTCATGTGGCCGTCCACAAGTGCCCAGAGATGGGGCAGCCAGGGGGCTGGGAGCGAGCAGGGTCACCCAGGGAGTGCAGTGCCACGTTCAACTCCTCTCCTTCTCCTTCTTGCAGGAGTGCACCGTCCTTCGCAGACCTCAGACATCCCTGGCTTCTACCCCCTGCCCCCCGGAGGAGTGGGGCAGATCACGCCGTCGATGGGATGGTGAGTGAGGGACGGCTCCCTGAGCCAGCCCCCCTCTGCTGCTGCTCCCTGGGACCTCCACGGGGCCTCCCCCAGCTTCTCCCCTCCTGTGTGCTGTGTGAAGAGGGAGGAGAATCCAGCCCTGTCTGTCCTGGAGGTGGGAGCAGACCCGTGGAGAGGCTGAAGGTTTCATCCTGGCTGAGGCATCCCTGGAGAGGGGTTACAAGCTGCCCAGTCCAAAACTGCCTCCTGCTTTACATCTGTGTGGATTAGGGAACCCAGAGAAAGCTTCCTACCCACCCCTCCTGATCACAGCAGAAGTCTGTTTTTTGAGTAGGAGGTAATTTTCTCCCTCACTGGACTTTTCTGCACAAACAGTGCTTTCCCTGAGCACACCACCAGTACGGAGCAATCCCGTAGGATGCTCCATCTGCCAGGCCCTGGTGTTTCTTGGGTTCTGACACACTGGGAAAAAGCTCATCATGGCAGAGACCTGCCAGGAAGCAACCCTGGTAACCCACAGCCTGGCCAGCTGGTAACCACTGCCCTAGCAGACATGGGAAAGGAGACACCATGAGCTGGAGCACTCCCAAAAAGTACCCCCTGCATGGGCCAGCCCTGCAGAGCATCCTGCAAAGCACAGCCTGCTCGTAAACCTGCCCTGGGGACACAAGTTAAAAATACACCAGTGTGTTCTCTGTGGTCATTGCCAGTGGCTTTTGTCCCCATGACCATGAGCACACTGAGAGAGCGGGTCTGGCAGGTGCTGCCATGTGGGCATCATCACTCCTCAGGTTAATATTTAATCCCTGCTGATGATGTAGGGACATGGCAGAGGCTGGCAGGGAGACTGGTGGCTGCAGGTGGCAATTCAGGGTTGCTGGGATGAGGAGAGGGTGCAGGGACAGTGGCCAGATTCCCCCAGTGCCAGTGGATAAAACTCTGGCAAAGCCCAGCAGAGAGCTTCAGGTACAAGAACCTATTGCAGAGTGGGCAAGGGGAAGCTTCTTAAAGCACAAAGTAAAATGTTAGCTTTTGCTTTGTTTTGTTTATGAATTTCATGTTCCAGATATTTAACCACAAGGAAACAGAGAATGAGGCCTTTGCTACAGAGTCTGGCTTCAAAGAGATTACATTTTGCCTTCTGTGCTAAATCTGCTACTCTTGGGTGATGATTTAACTTCTCATATGATGTGATTCATCCTCAGGAAAAACAAGGACTAGGGTGAATCTGGTGTAACATGATAGAAACAGTGGGAGTGGGGAGAAAGGAGCCTGTTTGTCAAATGGAAGGTCCATTCTGCGTTAGGATGGTGCTGTTCAGACAGCCCTGGGCTCATGAAGGGAGAGCAGTCTGGTGTCTGGTTTTTTATGGAGATTTTGTGGGGCAATTGGGGGTAGAGAGAGCTTTCATGGCTGAGAGCTGCTCCAGCATCTGTGGGGTTTGGCATCCTCCTGCAGCCTCATCAGATGGCTTCATTCATTAATGGCTTCATTAATAGGGCAGATATGGTAAAGCAGCAATGGGCCTGACATGCAGAGAGCAGCACCTTGAGGCATGTGTGTCTAACAGAGTTTTGCTCGTTCTTTTCCTTGCCTGGAATGTGTGGAAGAGCCCCAGCCCTACCTGTGGAGTGCCCAGTGCTCAGCTGAGGCTCAGCACTGCCGTGGGTGGGTGCAGGAGCACTGAAGCCTGGCATGCTCATGGCAGCATCCAGGGGCTGTGTGCCAGGGATGGGTGTGCTGGGGATGGTCATGCCAGGGATGCACCCCAGAGAAGCTGTGGCTGCCCCATCCCTGGAAGTGTTCAGACCAGGCTGGATGGGATCTTGAGCAACCTGGGCTAGAGGAAGGTGTCCCTGTCCATGACAGGGCATTGGAGCTGGATGATCTTTAAGGTTCCTCCCAACCCAAACCATTCCAGGATTCTGTGGTTGTGCTGGTGCCACCAGGGAGCTGCCAGGCCAGGGCAGCCACACATGGGAAGCAACTTTTCCTCCACAAGCTGGCAGGCAGGAGCTGGGCACAAACTGGTTTTGTTCTCACCGAGCGCTTCAGGAGGAGGAGCTGCAATCACTCTCTCTGTAATTAAGCTGGGATGACAGTCAGATAAAAGCTTCCAAGAGTCCAGTCAAGTGAGTTTTGCTTATGGGAGCCTGACAGTAAACATCAGCCAGGAACCTGCAAATCGTGTCACTCACCTGTGCCCAGGGCCGAGCTCAGTGGTGCCAGGGCAGCCTCTCCTCCAGCATCCCACAGCCCTTTCCTGAGCCACACTCCCTTCACCAGCTAATCCTCTGCAAACAGGCTGAGAGAGCTGGGGTTGTTCAGCCTGGAGAAATTTCCAGGGAGGCCTCAGAGTTCCTTCCCATACCTAAAAGTAGCTTAAAAAAAGAGGGAGAGGCACTTTTTATATGGGCAGATAGGACAAGGGAGAACAGTTTTGAAATAAAAGAGGAAAGTTAGATCAGATGTTGGGAAGGTTTTTGCCCAGAGACATTGCAGCTACCCCATCCCTGAAGGTGTTCATGGTCAGGTTGGACAGGGCTTAGAGCAGCTGGATCTAGTGAAAGGTGTCCCTGCCCTTGTCAGGAGCTTGGAATGGGATGAGCTTTAAGGTCCCTTCCAACCCAGACCAGTAATTCCATGGTATGGGCTGCAGTTGTGCACTCCCAACCATCAGGGACTGATTTTGCAGTTGCTTTAATTTTCATGTCAGAGGGACTTTGGATGAAGCTGCGAGTGCCTGACTCCATTCCCATCCCAATACCCCGGCCCCTGGAGTAACCCAGGTCTCTCCTGGCTGAGCTCCAAGTGTTTTCTCGGCCCTGGGGCAGCCGCCTCCACCTTCAAAGGCTGTTTGGGTTTCCCGGTGCGCGGCTGTTTGTTGGTGTGTTTATACCCCCGACATCTGAGGGGTCGGAGAGGGCTCCTGCCTGCCAGGGTGTAAACAGCCCTGGCTGCCTTTCCTGCAGACACATCCCACAGATTTCAGTCCAGCCAGGAGGATTTCAGACAGCAGCAGGAGCAGGAGCCTCCTTCCTGCCCAGCACAGCTCAGGGGTCTGATGCTGCCCCGCTGTCATTATTCCTCTTCAGGGCAGAAACTTCTCTTTAGCCCTGAAAAATCCCAGGCATCCAGGAGCTTGGGTCCTTCAAGTTCACCACACTTAATGATAATGGACTTTTTGTGGATTTTTTTCATCATTAGAGCTGAAAATAAGTGGTTCTGGGTTTAGGTACAGCTCTGTGCAGCATGGCCAGAGAAGCACAAGTACCAGCACAGTTGTGAGCACCCCATTGTTCCCCATCCCTGGAAGTGTTCAAGGCCAGGTGGGATGGGGCTTGGAGCAGCCTGGTCTAGTGGGAGATGTCCCTGCTTATGGCAGGGTGGGTTGGAATGAGCTTTAAGGTCCCTTCCAACCTAAACCATTCTGTAATTCTATGATCTCCATGTGCAGTTTTAGGCTAGAAGCATCTTTTGGCAGGTTTGCAGAACAATCCAAGGTATTTTTGAGCTATTTCCATATGAAAATGTGGGGGTTCCCTTGCTGGGAACAACAAGGAACTTCCTGCATAGTTATTTTACTATCTCAAAAATAATTTCCAGCTGCAGGTCTGATACATGTCTGGTCCCCAGTATGAAACAGCTTTCAAAAAGAATGCAGGACTGAGATTTTGGCTTCTTTAAAACTGATGGGTGTCCTTAAAAGGGTGTGCTGAGGAAATCAGAGCATTCCTGAAGCACAAAGGCAGGGTAGCTACCTTCTCTCCAGGCTCCAGGAGTCTCCTGTGTTTGGGGCATCACAGCATCACAGAGTAAATGAAGTTGGAAGTGACCACAGTGGGTGACCTGGTCCAACCTCCCTGCTCAAGCAGAGTTGTTCCAGAGCACATGGCACAGGATTGCATCCAGACAATCCTGGGTTATCTCCAGTGAGGGAGGCTCCACACCCTTTCTGGATAGCCAGTGCTTGGTCACTGCACAGTAAAGAAGTTTTCCTTATATTTATCCTCCTGGTGCAGCTTCTTGTGCACCACACAGAGAATCTGAGCAGGCTTTAATTTTTTTTTTTTTTTGGTCACACTGTGCTCTTTTGAGCAACTTCTCCTGCACAATAGCAACATCTCCTGATTTTTCAGCATGCCTCTGCACTTTGCATTGTTACCAGGTAAACTCAGAGCTGCAGCATTAGTCAGTACCAGGGGCAGAGGGGTTCAGAACTGGATCCCACCTTTGTAGGAAGGCCCAGGTTCTCTCAAAATAACACCCAAAGCCCACACTGACCCTCAAGGCTAAGGGACACTGAGTGTCCATCCACCCAGCCAGGAGCATCAGTGCTCTGAACCCGTTAGCAAAGGGTATCTGTAGGAAACACCCCGTGGCTGTGGATGCTTTATAGACTCTTTCTTCCTGATCCCAGGCAGAGCCAGTCTGTCTATCCGCTCCCGTCATGTGGATTTAGACAGCCGTACTCGTCAGCGCTTTCTGCTGGGGCTTCTTTCTCCAGGTGAGTATCAGCTGTGGCAGACAGGGCAGCTCAGCTGGTCGTGCAGCTTGCAGTTTGTGCAGCAGGAGCTTGCAGCAGACCACAGCCACCCAGGGACAGCCACACACCCTCCCAGGGCAGCCACAGGGACAGAAGGTGCTTTTAGGCAGTGTCTGGTCCAAGGGGTGCTCAGGGGAGTATTGAGGATGAAGGATGCACAGTGGTTGGGTTTTATTTAGCAGAGCTCTAAAGAGAGACAAAAACTCCAGCCTTCAGCTCAGCACTGGGAAATGGGGTGGAATCCATTGCTCAGGACATTGCTCCGTGTCACTAACCCTGAATGTGTCCCTGCTGCCACCAGCGCTTTGCTCTGCAGAGATGGATCTGGTTTACTTGGTCTTAGCTTTAAAAGCAGGACAGGAGGGGGCAGTGATTTGCTGCCCTCCCATCAGAACAAGTCATTTCTGTGAGATACAAACACAGCTTGTGCCTTTGGGTGAGCAAAATGCATCCCCTGTGGATGGGAATCACTGAGCCCAGCTCTTCCAGGCGTGCTGCTGGGCAAAGCCCTCCTGGTCCCATAGGTTCACCAGGGCCATATCAGCTTCTGCTTCTGCTTCATGTTGTCCTGAAGGGCTGTTAGTGGAGATTTCCCACAGGAAAACCATGCAAACCCTTGCTCAGGCGAGCCCTTAGCCACACAGAAACCTGGATCCATGTAACCCTCAATCCATACAACACTTGATCCATGCAACCCTTAGCCTTGCAGAAGAGGGGAGGGAGTGTGCCAGCCCTCCTTTCTCATGAGGTATGACCCATGCACAGCTTCAGAAGTGAAGGCAAGAGGAGCTAACGGTTCCGTGTGGAGCCCCAGCAGCCTCCCTGAGCTCCTGCCTGCAGGATTTTGGGGTGGATTTTGCAGCACTGCTGCTGCAGCCGAGAAAAGTACACCTGGCCAGATAAGGATCAGACTGTGCTGGTGGATTAAATTAAATAGCTTTTCTTTTCGTGCCAGCATATCTAATGAACAGTTCATCTCCCATGGGCAATTCTGCCATCTCAAGCTGCAGTCATAAAGTGGCAAGCTTGGCAAAGCTGACTTTGCTGGCTTTATCCTCCAGAACTCGGGAGAGAGCTAATGAAGCCTGAGAGCTAATGAGACCTCTCATGATCTCAGCCCATGTTGTGGAGAGCGTTGCTCAGGCAAGGTGCACCTCCTAGAGTTGCAGTTGGGTTCATGTTCAGACTTAATCTATTTCTGTTAAAAGAAAGGTGTGGGGTGGTCCTAATCTCTCCCATCCAAACCCAAACTCCCAAAGGAGTTTGTTGTTCCTTTCTGCAGTGCTAATGAGATAGTGCAACAATAGAGACCTGAGCAGCTGAAACTGCTGGGTGAAAGCACCCTTGATCTCGGCCAGGCTGGCTCCTGCTGCAGGCGGCTTCCCTCGCTGTGGCACTGGATCCTTTCCATCCACGTGCCCACAGCTTGACCAGCCATGCCATAAGGGTGAACCAGGGGTGGTGGGCAGTGCCTGCCCCCCTCCAGCCAGGCAGCACTGTGTGCTTTCCATGTTCTTGCTTTCCGTCTGCTTCGCCACGTCAGAGCGCGCTCCGAGGGACAATGTGGCTGCCTGAGGGATGCCCTGGCACTCTGAGGGATGCCCTGGCTCCTGGCACTCCCAGGGATGCCCTGGCACTCTGAGGGATGCCCTGGCTACCTGATGCTCCAAGGGATGCCTTGGCTGCCTGGCCCCTGCCATGTCTCGGCCCGGCACAGCCCTCCTGGCACAGCTCACCCCCTCTCTGTTGCAGCCCTCTGGCACAGCTCACCTGCTCTCTGTTGCAGGTTCACTCACCCTCTGATGCTGGGCTCTGGCATGCACACCACCGGCATCCCGCACCCTGCCATCGTGCCCCACTCCGGCAAGCAAGAGATGGAGCACTACGACAGAAACATGTGAGTAGGAAGTGCTGGCTCAGCAGCAGCAGCTCCTCAGCACCCATTCCATCTGTCACTCTCAGTTCTCACACAGGGGGAGGATGGATGGACACTGAGCTGTGCATCTGAGGAGCAAATCTCAGCCCCCCCCACACCTGCTCATGCTGTTGGGTTGTTTGGGGTCGAGTCTTCTGCTGGCTCTGATGCTGAAACCCCCTCTTTTGTCCCACCAAGGAAACCTCAGCCAGAACCAAAGAGAGAGAAGGAAGCCAAGAAGCCCACTATTAAGAAGCCCCTGAATGCTTTCATGTTGTATATGAAAGAAATGCGGGCGAAAGTCATCGCCGAGTGCACCCTGAAGGAGAGTGCTGCCATCAACCAGATCTTGGGCAGGAGGGTAAGAGCTCATGGGGCCACTGTCATCACCTGGTGCCACATCCCTGTCCCTTACAGCTGCTGTTAAGTACATAACAAGCATCTGCTCTTATTCCACAGACACAGGGGCTGGGTATGCCCTGAGGTGGGGTGGTAGTGGTGGGCAGGGCTGGCAGGGGACAGCAGGGCTGGGCTGGCAGGGGACAGCGGGGCTGGGCTGGCAGGGGACAGCAGGGCTGGGCTGGCAGGGGACAGCAGGGCTGGGCTGGCAGGGGACAGCAGGGCTGGGCTGGCAGGGGACAGCAGGGCCATGTTTCAGTGCTGTTTGTCCCTGCAGTGGCACGCGCTGTCCCGGGAGGAACAGGCCAAGTACTACGAACTAGCTCGCAAGGAACGGCAGCTCCACATGCAGCTCTACCCCGGCTGGTCTGCCAGAGACAACTATGTGAGTGCCCCCTGAATGACCCCTTCCTGGAAATGCCATTCCTGGCAGCATAAGAGCCATAGAAATTCACATTTCAGTAGTATTTTGAACACCTTATTGCCTGTCTAAAGGATGAATGATGCAGCCCCCAGCAACCATAAGCATTTATTTTCCTATTGTCCAAGCAAATACAAATAGAAAGGAAGAGAAGGTTTTAAGTGCTGTGGATATATCTTTGGAAATGTAGTTTTTTGGAGGCAAACAGCTCTGTGCATCTTGGACAGCAGCTGATGTATCTGTGAGTGTGGTGAGGCCCTGGCACAGGTTGCCTAGAGAAGCTGTGGCTGCCCCATCCCTGGAAGTGTTCAAGCTGAACAGGGATTGGAGCAACCTGGGGTAGTGGAAAGTCTCCCTGCTCATGTCAGGGGGTTGGAGCAGGTTGTCTTTGAGGGCCCTTTCAACCCAAATAATTCTATGATTCTGTGATTTAAAATAGTGGCTCTTTTTGTAGGGGGCCTTTTCTTGTGACTTTCACAGCTGTTTTGATATTACATGCCTAACAAGCTCATCAGTGAACTGAAGCAAAGCACACATAAATCTTCAGATGTCTGTCCATCCACACATCTCCATCATTTCCCTCAGACACTTTCTTACCCCTGGGAACTGCACAGTGAGTGCCCGTCCTTCCCACACTCACTCCAGCCCTCCTTCCAGAATAACAGAACTCCACCAAGGTCAAGAAAACACCTGAAAATAGACCCAAATCACCCCAAACTCCCCCCAGAAACAGAGGGCAGAGGTGATGGGAATCCCCCAGCCCACATTTTGATGGACACACATCTGGAGAGCATCAGCATTGCTGAGAGCATGGCACCATCTTCCTCCAAGGCCAAGCACATCCTCCATGGAAATCCCAGTCCTGTATCATCTTCATCTGGTTCCTTGGAGAATCAGGGCTGGTTCCTTTCTCCAGAAGATAGATGGTGGACTCCAAAAGTGCACATTGGTGCTCCCAGCACTGTGAACCAGCTGGTTTGGGTGTTGTGCTTGTTGGAAGAGATGCTTCTCTCTCTGAAGTTGAGCAGGGATGAGGAGGAATGTAGGTCACTGGTGCAGCACGTGATGCAGAAATCAGGCAGGAAATACAGCTGCTCCCCCTCTGAAGGAAAAGCTCACCACAGCTCAGAGCTTTCCACCTTCACTCAAACCACAAGAAGTCATATAAAAAGTCACAGGTCAAAGGCAGCCCTGGGAGCTGCCTGTGTCACACAGCCAGATTTGCTTCTGTGCTGCTGTGCCCTCATTAATCAGCTCTCTAGGGGCAAGGGGAGGTGCTGCATCTTGTGAATCAGAGAGGCAGTTTGGGGATAAAATAGGACTTTTTTATTACTGAAAAAAGAATGAAAGGTGGGTCCAGAACTACAAAAGTACTGAAATAGATTAGTATTATTTAAAAATAAATTTCTGAGGATTTCCTAAAACTTTCTTTCCCATTTGGAACCAGGGAATATCAAGAACCAGGGTGCTGTAGTTTCAGTTTGGGTATAAGGCACCGCATTAAAGCATGTTTTGGAAATAGGGAAGGTTCTAAAATGGACAAGTGCTTTTTAGAAACAAAAGGAACAGGAATAAGAATATGACAGAGCATCAGCTATTGATCATATTCTCTCCATTGCATGCAGCAAATCTCGTTTAATTCTGTTGATCTCACTCAAAGTGCTGAGCCAAACTGCCCGTGATGCTGGATCTGGGGGTATTGGAAATGAAGGTTAATCCCTGAGAAAAGGCACAAGCCCAGAAGGAATTTGTGCTGTGCAGAAGCCATAGCAAGTGCCCAAAAACACTTTGGGTTTGGGTTTCACTTTGAGAGTTCCTCCTGAGTTTCTTCTTAGGAATGTTGGAATGGAATGAGGGAAAAGGAAGGACACCCTCATGGATAAACCTCAGTAGTCCCTTTGCAGCCTTTTCCAGCTCATCTGCTCCTGGAATGGGCTGAACCAGCAGCACCATGGCTCTTACCTGGGAGGCAGCAGCCATCCCCAGCACCCAGTCCAGCCCAAAAACCCTGCACAGCACCCTTGGTTTTCTGGAGCACAGGTAACAGCCTTTCCTTTGATTTCCTAGGGGAAGAAGAAGAGACGAACACGGGAAAAGCAGCAAGATTCCAGCTCAGGTAAGTGCCTGCAGCCTGGCAGCTGTTCCTGCTCAGATGAGAGAATCCAAAGCAGTTGTTGTGTTTTACCATGTTTTCATTTATTCTCTGGAGCTTAACTAGAGAAATACACACTCATTATTTTTTTAAGCCATGGTAAATTAACATTTCTGTGAGTTTTTAATAGACATGTTTGATTAAGAACATGGGTAGCATGTAAAAACTGAAAAGACTGGATTTTGGCAAACGCATAATAATTTCATATAAACTATCACTAAACTTTATTGAAAACATCCAAGGTGAATGTCCCCATCAAAACTACAGATTATATTAACTAAAGAAAACTCCTTTCAAATACATCCATATTGTGTGTGGGATGAAATGTAGTGGCAGGACTGAAGATCATTCATGGGACTACTCCAACTTTGGTTGTCATTTCAAAGTAATGTAGAGTTGAAGCAAAGTCATACTAAACCCCACCTTCCTGTACCACCCTGCCATTGGAAAAGGCCCTATTGACAGATTTCAGCTGGTCACAGACCCATTCCCATCATCCAAGGCTATTCATGTGCTGATTGCTAAAGTATTTCTGCCATAGCAGGAATAAATATTATCTGTACCAATAAATATTAGTTTAAAAGGGAGTCATTATCAAGAGATGTGTCCCAGTAATACCTTCAGTTTAATTAACACTGTTGATCTCATTCAGTGCCGAGTTTGATAAGAAGAATACCAGGTTTTAGGCCTTTATGTAGAGTGCATTGTATATTTTTATATATCCATAGATATGTCTTGTCTTTGTGATACAAAAATTATAATTTCACCTGTTACAGATGGGAAACCAACTACTGGTTGTACACAAGGAGACTTTCATTGATGGTGGTTAAAGAGAGAGGCTGAATCCAGCACAGAAATGTGCTGTTCATCTCATTCACAACACCAGAGAAAAACACGATGTGCCTGAAAGCAAACAGGGCTTCACCCTAATGAGTCCTGTAATTATACAGCACAACAGCAGCGTTTTAGGGCAGGCCGTGGAGAGCAAGTTTTCCATTAAAACTGGAAGGGGTGTGATGGGGGCAGAGTGGAATAGCTGGGCCAGGTGTCCGTGGTGCTAACTCTGCTTTCAGCCTGCTTTTGCAACGTTTCCTCCTCTTCTCTCGGTGCGCAGCCCGGTGGTGTCTGCTGGAAGGGCAGGGAGCCGGCAAGGATGCAGATACAGGAGCCAGGCATTGCCTCGGGATTTGGCAGCTTTTCCAGACTTAAGAAATTGGAAGAGCTGTGAATTTCCCCGTAATTGCCCACGCTTCTCAAAGCTGTTTCCCAAACCACCTCCAGCTGCCAGCAGTGATCACTGATATTTACCTAACGATCACTTTCTTCCAGGTGGTGCCAGCGCCATTCTGTAGCAGAAAATAATGGGATTGTAGTGTGTTAGTCATGTGTCACAGTGGCTAAAATGATGTTGCCTCTTTTCTTCCTCGTGCTCCTCCTCCTCTTTGTGCCTCTGCCTTGCCCATTCTCGCCGCGCATGCTTCTGTGTTCAGATCCTGCCTCTCCTAAGAAATGCAGAGCTCGCTTTGGCCTCAACCAACAAACGGACTGGTGCGGCCCGTGCAGGTGTGTATGGCATCTCCTCCTCGCTGCTGGGTGTTCCTGGGACAGGGGTTCAGCTCCAGGTGTCCCCCTGCAGCCATCCCAGCACCAGCAGGGGCTGCTCTGTCCCGGCAGGGATGAGCTGTGCTCTGGACATCCTCAGTTTTCTGAGCTGCAGGGACAGGCTGTACTCTGGGGTTTTATCCCTCCAGGGGCAGTGTTGGTTTAGTGCTGTACATATTCCTCAGCTGATAGACTTCCCTGGTCTTAAAACTTATTTCCAGGATGGAGACCTCTGTGACCCTTACATGAGGCTTTTTTTCCTCCATTAGTGCTTTCCAGTTGCATTAGTGGCACCCTAAGGCCAGCAAGTGAGGGTTTAATGGGGTTTTTTCCTATTTATACTAGGTTAACCATGTATTTCAAGATCCATCTCTTCCTGAGCCTTAAATTTTGCAGTACATGTCATGGGTGGGTGGGACAGCCTCAAGCAGCAAAACAGAGCAGTGCTGTGCTCCTCGGGCTCCCAGAGATGGATCTGGTCAAGAAATAGTAAAGTTCACATCAACCAAGTGCTGCTGGGCTCAGAGGGGCTGCAAAAGCAGGCAGGCAAAGAAAGCTCCTGGGAGCTCTGGATCTAGGTGCCAGAGCAGAGAGAGACTCCAGCTTAGACATCTGCAATTTGCAGTTTTGCACCAATGCATGAGGAAAAAGGTGGAAGTAAAGTACTGGTTGATGTGTTCACTTCATCTTGAAGTGACTAAAATCATTTAGTTGCCCCATACCTTGCTGCACCCCAAGCTCCAGTCCCTGTGGCTGTCCCCTCCTGCACCTCAGCGTGCCACAACAGCAGAGCTCCCTTTCTGCACTTCCCTGGGATGTGTCATCAAGCACCATTTTTAATTGATCAAGAATCCAGGCAGAGCTCCCTTAGTGTCTCATTAACACCTGAATGCCAGAGGGGGCTGCTGGAGTGCCCTGTGCCCCCTGCAGCTGTGCTGCCAGGCTGAGTGCCCCACTCTGCCACGGACACTCCTTCCCCCTTCCCTCTGCCTCCATTCCAGCTCTGAGCTCAGCTTCTCCTCTGCACGGCTTCCTGATTAACACAGCCTGCTGGAGTGCCTGGGCACCTTGGCATGCTCTTCTGTGTGCCCCTGTAACCCAGCCCTGGCCAGCCAGAGCTGCTCTGCAATTCTGTACTAACTGTGCTGCTGCCACTCGGGGCTCCTGCCCAACGGGCCCTGCTCACCTGTGCACAACAACCTTCCCAGGAGGATCTCCCCTCCATGGGAGAGGTTAACTGGCTAAGACTGGGTGTTCCTGTTCACACTCCTCCCCCACAGCCTGGACAAACACTCCAGGGTGCTGTAGTTTCCAAAGTGAGAAGGATAAGTTCCCCTGAAGAGAGAGGGATAACACCCACCTCTGTAACACCCACCTCAGCATAACCCATGGACTGGGCCATTATCAGCAGTCTGCAGTATCACGTTTTTTTCCCCCTGTAACTTTAAATCCAATGAATCAATGGACACATTCCTGTAATCTTAAACATTGAAACTCTATCCTGCAGCTGCTCCCAAGATGTCTCTGGGAAACACAGCTCATCCTCAGCTTGTCTCTGGGGAATTACTGCCCATGGAAAATACCCTGGAGTTAAATAATTCGTGTTCCCTATTGCATTAATTGGGTCAGCAGGGCTAACATGGCACTGACAGCAGTAACAGCACTGCTCTTGTTCACTTCCAATGCAAGTCATGTTTGATACTGGACTAGTTAATGCTCATCCTCACAGTTTGGTTTTTCATTAGGCAGATCAAAGACAGCTGTGTGCCCACATTAGCAAGTTCTCCATTGGATCTATTTTCCTCAGCTGAGACAGTGAGGCAGGAGCTGGCTGGGAGATGTTCTTTCACCTGTTCTAGCTGTAAAGGCTCCAGCAGAGGAATTGTCCCTTCGGTACTGTTAAGGTGACATCTTGAGAGCTCTTTTGTTTGAGGATCTATTCTGAGGTGCTCAAGGACCCAAGGCGGATGACATGAGGGATTTGTCACATGGAGAGAAGGAAAACCAGCTCAACAAACAGTGAAGACAAGATAGTGTGAGGAACTGAATCTGGACAACCAGGGGTAGTTAAAACAGTCTGGATGTACAAGGTGACACCTGGAACTCAGGATAAATACTGAACAGAATTGCCACAGGATGTGAAGGAATCATGGCCAAACCCAGCTACAGCAAGAATGATGTGTGACTTGTATTTTTGATACCCTCAAATGATAACATACAAACATGTGGGGAACCTGAGTGTTTCTTCCAGGAGGGATTAAAGGATGCTGGTCCCTGCTCCCTAAGGCAGGTGCTGCTGCCTTAGGGACCTTCCCAGTCCCAGCAGATTTCTTGCTGGAAGAGCAGGGCTGGGGAGGAGCGCTGCCCCCAATGGGTAAAAAACCTTGTCCTGTAAAAACCCCTTTGGGTCAGTAAAGCCATCCCCAGCTGATGAGCTCTGTCACACTCCACAGAATGGGAGCATGGTACTGAGTCTGTCACCACTGCAGGGCCATTCTGCCAGTCTCTGTCCCTGGTGTCTGCCCATGTTGCATTTTGTACCTGCACTCCACATCCCAAGGGGAGGTCACTTCCCAAGGGGAGGTCACAGCCAACATTCCTCTCCAGGATCCCCATGGGCTGAAGTGTCATTGGTAGCTCTGCCAGGGCTGATTTTCCTTCAGCTCAGTGAGCAGGTTCAAAGTGATCTGCCCTCCAAGGAGCAACAAGTCCTCTGAAGGCCTCAGGACTGTTCCAGTTTTCAAAGCAGGACCTCAGACACCCTCAGACCATCTTCCTCCAGCCAATCCCCGGCCATTTCCTTCCCTTTTCCTGAATGGTAGCTGAGCACATTTCTGCCCGGCTGTATGACTGGGTTGTCCTTGGAGGTGGGGAGGAATGGGAGGTACACTCACATGCAGAGATAACTCAGAGCAGAAGAGAAGAGCTGAGAGCTAGGGCCAGGCTGGATGGTACTTGGAGCAACCTCTGGTCTACTGCAAGGTGTCCCTGCCCATGATGGGGAGGCTGAAATGGGATGAGCATTAAAGTCCCTTCCAAACCCAAACCAGTCTGTGGTTCTAAGTAGATGATACTGTGCACAAGGCTAGGAAAGTGCTGGGAAATGAACTCTTGGAACCTTCAGATTTTGGGATGAGAAAAGCCAAGACTGGTGTGAGGAGCATTGTCCAAGCAGAGCACAGCCTGGGGCTGCCAAGCAGGGTGGTGCTGATGTGCCCTGTGACAGCAGTGCACACCACTGTCCCGTGCTGCATGGGCTCTGTGGCAGCTCAGGAGGGGATCCATGAGGAATGCTTTAATCCTAAACTTGTGAGAGCCAGGCACCCACACAGAATCCAAGCACTTGGGGTGGTGGCTGGTGAGGAATGACCTTATAGGTTGGATTTTTATTATTCTTTTAATTTTTTTTTAAATTTTTTGGGTATTCATTATTATTTATATAATTATTTTTAAATTGTATTCTTTCACTTTTTTATTATTATTTTTCTTTCATGGCTTTGATAATTATTAATTGGGGGGGCGCTTTTTTCTTTTTTTTCTTCCTTTTTTTTTCTTTTTTTTTTGTGTGTTTTCATTTTTATCACGACATTTTGTTGTCTATTCCTGTTTCAATTCATACCTTCCTCCTCCTCCTCCTCCTCCTCTCCCTTGGCGGCCGAGCCCCTCCCCGCGGGCGCCGCTCCCGGCCCGCTGGCGCCGCCTGGCGGTGTCCCCGCAGCGCTGCAGCGCCGCCACGGCCCCGCGGGGAGCAGGGGGCGGCGGGGCTGCCGGGACCCTCCCGTTACTCACACAGACCTCTCTCTGCTGTTCCAGGAGGAAAAAGAAGTGCATTCGGTACCTACAAGGAGAAGGACGCTGTGCCAGCCCAGTTTCTTCCGATGGAAGTGCTATAGACTCCCCTCCATCCCCACCGGACGCACTCCGATGCATCCCCTCCGCCTTCCCGTCAGAGCAGCTCGCAGCCCCCGCCGACCCCGCGCACCGCGACCAGCCCGACCCCTGCCCCGTGTCCGCGCACCTCCCGCCCGCCTCCGGCCCCTCCAGACCCGGCGCCCGGCGCTCCTCGGCGCCCCCCGCCTACAGCCGCGCCTCCTCGGGGACATAGTCCCTGCCTGCTCCCGGACGAGGACCAGAGGCACAGCCAAATCCCCATCTCACTGTAAAACATGCAAAGTTTGGCCACAGGATGACTTAAGGATGATGGAAAACTCATTTGGTTGGGGTTATTTTGGAGGGGAGGGATGATAAAGATAGAAAAGCAATTAAAAAAAAAAGGTAAAAAATAAGTACTTGCCAAAAGTTAAAGTGCTGATGAGTAAACAAGCCTTTTGTCCCTGCCCTGTGATGCTTTTTTTTGTTTGTTTGGGGGTTTGTTTTGGTTTCTTTTTTACTGTATTATCTCCAAGCGTGGCAGAGAGCAGAGCCACATCCCCAGCTTGCTGCTGTAGGTGGTAGGTGCTGTCAGTCTAACCCTGGCTTCCACTCCCTGCCCTCCGAGCTGCTTCAAAGTGTAGTCACTCACAGATCTCCCATAGCCCTTACACCAAGGAGCTGGAAAAGCTGGAATAGGAGAATTTTTTTAAAAGCCCAGATGTCTGAAAAGGAAACTAAGCGATACCAGTGTTCTGATCTGACAGGGTGAAACAGAAATTAAATATTTAAAGCAATGAGGTGAATTTTTTGAACTTCTTGTTTGAGAACAGGAAGATGTTTGCAGGTAACAGGTCCCATTCCATGGTTGTACAGCAAGGCAGAGGAAAAGGGAGCACCAGCCAGGCAAAGGAGCACGGACTGGCTGCGGGAAGGGCTGCTGGTTGCTCAGGACACTGGGCAGGTGCAGCATCTGTCCTCTGCAGATGTCAGAGGGATGGTCAGAAATCCCACCAGACAGACTGCCCACAGCCTCACAAATCAGTCTGTTGCTTTTGTAGGCTCTGATCAAGCTCTGCACGTGCACAGCAGCGAGCAGGGCAGGGCATGTGGGAGCCAGCAGCCCCAGCAGCCCCAGGATGTCACTGGCCCAGGGCACAGACCCACACTGGCCCAGCAGGTCCCTCAGGGGGAGGTGTGAGCTCTCCTGGCAGCACAGCAGCACTCACTGCCCCGCTCTGTAGGCATCTGTCTGTACATACCCTCGGTGACATAAGAACCCTCTTTGTCATGATTCAGTGTAGAACTTTTTAAAAAACCTTATTCTAGCTTTTTCTAAAAGATTCTCCCTCCACCCCAATGATGATGCCAAATGTTCATGTATTCTCTCCAGCTTTAAAATGTTTACCAGTTTCTGGTACTGTATTTATATTTTGAGTTTGATAAACAAAAAACACTGTGGATGGATTATGATCTCCATGAACTGATGTAAATCCCAAATAATTCCAAGTTCTGGATTTGCTTCAGGTTTACAGTCTTCTCAGAGACCACAGTCTAGTCCAGTGCAGACTTTTTTTCCTGTTTGAAAGAAATCTATTCCAGACTGCTGAAGAGAAAAATGACACCACACAGAGGTAGAGGGGGCACTATTTTTTTCCTACTTGATAGATGGGTTTTGGAGTACTGAATACAAATTATGTAGTAATATTATTGTAGAACTGCAAGAAATTTAAGATGACCTTTATAATGTACAAACTATTTTTATATTTTTTCTTAATGCAAAAACACAAACCATAATTTTTTACATTGGATTAAACGTAACTTTTTAACCAACTTTATGCCTCAAAGATTTAAAAATTTAAAAAAAAAAAAAGCCAAACCTAACTAGTCTGTAGAGCAGCTTTGGCTTTAGTCCCTTTATTTAGATGGTTTTGCTTCTAGTAGTGTAGATTTTTTATTTCTGGTTTTAGTTTTGAAGATTTAAACCTGTTTCTTTGTTCCTCTCCTGTATAAATGTAACTTCAGAAGCACTGACAGAAAGCTATGTGCACAAACCTGACAAGTTTGCAAAGAGTCATTTTGAAGTTTGAATCATTTTAACCCTTGGAGAAGTAGCATTACCCGATCCAATGCGAACTGTACACTTTTGTACTGACTGCACTCAGAGGGTTAATTACATAGCACTAGATCAATATGCAATCTGCTCATTTTAAATTATTTTAGCAAGCTTAGCCAACAGCATGTTCTGGTGCTGAACAGAGGAACTCAGTAGACTTGCCAGACCTGATATGATCTCTTTAATCATATGATTTTCAAACAAAAGAAACAGCTTTAAAAATGGTTGTGTCTCAGCTCATCATTTGTCACTCTGAGACCCTCTGCTGTAAGGTGCTCTAAGTGTCACCTCCTGGAAACACCAGAGATGACAGAGCAGCCACCACAGCCTGGTGTGCCCCATCCTGGGTGTAAGGCTGGTGCAACTCAACACCCAACTGCTACTGCATGGTTGGATGACAGATGGAACTTAGCAGCAAAGCAAAGGCAGGTAGAAAAGGCAGATGTGTCTAAATAACACCAGAGGAAATTTCAGGGCAAGTCCTGATCAGTATTAAACTGGCCCAGGCACCCCCAGGACCTCCACCCGCCTATTTCAAGGCTCCTCTGGCCCCTCCATGGGGTGGAGTCCCTGCCTGGACCAGCAAAAGGCTCTCCTGCATTACAGCCTCCTCTCACCACTGAAATCCCACTGATTCCTGCCAAAGCTCCTCAGTGACAGTGAACACCCCCTCTCCAGGAGCCCCTGCCTGTGCCCCCGTGGCACAGCAGCATTTCCAGAGCCCCAGAGCTGGAGCAGTCACACTCAGCACTGTGTGCTCTGCTCTACACATACAGGCCAGAGCTCACCCCGTGCTTCCACTGCTGCAGGATAAACTCACAACACCCACCTGTGATAAACTGCACCCAGTTTATACTGGGGAAACTGAGAAAATGTCATTATTTCTATTCCAAAACACAGAAAAGATACTGTTAGGCCACTCCTTTCCAAGACAAAACAGCATGACTGACTTCTGTTCCATGGCCCCATGGCTGATAACCAATGCCAAAACAGAGTTATTCATACCAAAAAGGGTGTCTTTCAAACTGCCATATGAAGTGTTGCTATTTTGTGTTAATACTCTTTTTTAATAAAAGGAAGACTTTGCCCTGAAGTTTTTATCTCAACAAGAAATTTTTTTAGTTCTTTTACAGCAGTTTTAACTCTTCCTGAAATATGTATTTGAATTCCTGGAATCAGTCTGAATGTAGAAGTCATGGAAGTACCACTTCATTAAATCAAGTAAAACCACTGTATGTATGTAGCAGGGATAAATGTTTTGCAGCTGTACCTTCATTTGTCCAATGACTATCCATCATTTGTTGTAATTTTTTTACTTCACTGAGTTTGTATTTTTTGGCTTTTATGTTCAAAGTATGTTTATAGCTTTATAAATAAAGTAATTGCCAGACTGGCTGTTCAAAAGAGGCCACTGGAAGTTATAATGCTATCAAGCTCTCAAGTAACTATTTCTTAGCATTCAAGAGGATTCCTGCTTGCTTTTGTTTTTTCCCTTCAGCATTTGTATGTTTGAATAGTTTTTAGAATAACTGCCAATAACCTTCAATGGGTAAGACTGAAATACTGAGCCAAGGGTCCAAAGAAAATACTTTTTTCCTACAATTCCTACTGACACCCAGCCTTGCTTCTCCCTACCCCCACAGTCAATCCCTTGAAAAGCCTGATCCCTGATCATGCACTGACTTAAAAAAAAAAAAAAAAAGGAAAAAAAAAAAGCAGCTTTAATACAAGTTAAACAGCACCAGAAAGTTTAGCAGTGGGAATCAGTCTCAGAGCACACAGCCAGTGCCCGTTAGAGCAGCAAGGAGCAGGTTCAGCTGAAGCACAGAACAAGGCAGCAGCCACAGGACAGCCCAAACCCTCAGCACCTCCCCAGTGTCCTTCTCTACAGCTCAGCACTAGTATTACTGGAGTGGGTAAGACAACTGAGAGATTCACAAAACCAGGCTTTTCCTGCTGACATCCCTGCCAGGCAGCTACAGAACCTGAATGTGGCTGAAGTCTGAGTCACTACTGTAGGGGAATGTCAATTAGAGCAAGTAAGTTTATGCAATCCTGACTACCAAGGCCAGTGAGAGAATTACAGATCTGACAGAGCACACAATGCCTTGAGCACACAGAGCAGCCCTCCTGCACCTCCACACAGGTGCCTCAGTGCCAAGAGCCACGTGTCACAACCTGGGGCTCCAGCACAGGCTCCAGCCCTGCACACCTGCCCAGCACAGCTCAGCCTTGGGCCAGCTGCTCTCACAGGTACCAGCTTTAATCCCACGTGTGGTTATGCAGGCACAGCACAGCTGGAGCAGTGCAATGAGGAAGATAAACTGTCTTTGTCCCTCCCTCACCCTGAAGCAGCATGAGGCATCCTGCAAGGCTGACAAACATTGACAATGGGCTTGTGACAAGCACCCAAAGGAATTTACACAGGCTGCTGCCACCAAGCACAATTACACCAGGCTTCTGAATGTTAACTACAAACAGCCACAGAAAGGACATTTTCCATCACATTTTCCTCTAGTAGCACTTCTAAACTGAGGTGCATTGTTTGCAATGCAGGCTGCTGGAAAGGCTTCAGCATGTCCAAGTGCAGCAGGGCAGTATTTGATGCCCACTGACAATGTCTAATACACCCAATATAATGCACAACAACACAAAGGCAGGCCCCACAACCTCCTGAGAAACCAGATGTGAGGAGCAGTTCTACCCAAAGCATGGGTTTCAACGCTGCTTTAGAGCAAATTCTGAATGCTTTCATAATGGTTACATCCAAACTGTAGGCAATCTTGGTAAGCCATCAAAAAATCTCTCTGGATATTTATCCATAACCCAACTTCATCTCAAAGTTGCCCACTGTGTCTGACTGGTACCCTGCATTAGTCCCTTACAAACTTGACATCTGTTTTGTTTCAATTAACCACTGCCTCAGTGCTATTATTTCTACACTCAGTAACAAATGACAGTAAAACTGTCTAGTTCCAAATAACTAGAACCATTTGCAAACCAAAGTTTAAAAGCCCTTTATTAATTCAGAAGTGAAACACCAATATTTCAAGTGAGATAAGTATGTTTATTAAGGTTCATTCTACTCTAAGGTTTATACAGAGAATGGAATGCAATACAAGCTAAGAGCACACCTCAAAGATCTACCACACAACCATCCCCTACTCCCTATAAGGGAACTGTAAAAAAAAAAAATAAATCAGAAAACCAGTTACTGTTCAACTAGTTGCAAGTGGCTTTGTCCAAAGAAGTTAAGCTTGATATTGCATTAGCTTTGTATGCAATAATTAAGTCTCTACAAGCTGAAGTATCACATACAGAGGCAAAAGATTTCCTGTGGACACAGGAAACCATGTTTCCAAGAGCTACATCACAAGGGTCTTTAAAACTGCCTAAAAACCAGCCACTAATGGCATGCACAGGTCAATAATATTAACTTTGGTAATGTCAGTCATTTTTGGTCAAATCTGGATTCCACTTTAAACAGTAATATGTATAAAAACACACCCATCCTGTGCACAAAGCAACACACTTTATTTGCTATCACCTAGAGGCAGGTCTTCAAGACATGGCTGAAGTATTCAAATTTAACTGTCAGGAGCTTGTTTAGTTCTAAATCACATTTTCACTAGTCTATAAGGCAAGACTAAAAGGACAAGAAAGTGGTCAAATATTTAATTTTTTTTTAAATGCAGGACAAGAACCATCTTGAAAATTATATAGCTTTAAGTAACACTTAACTTTTTCCACAATGCTTTTGTAAGAAATCCAGTAACTTTTTTATATTATCTAGTTCCCCAAGAGAGATTCTAGTTTGTTTTTCTTTCTGAACTTATCAATACCCTGTAAATACATGTGTTTTGCTCTTCTTGAGGAAGAAGTTATAGATGTTTTTATTTACAACAGAGTCAATCCTTAGCACTATATCTGGACTTCAACAGTTTAAAAGTGTAATGAAAATGACAACCTTAAGTGCTACTTCCCATACAGAATCCACACTTAGTTCAGTTTTATTCATTGCAAAGTAAAAAGACATCCAATTACACTAGTAAAAACTCAGAGATCTAGATCTGTACTCAAAAAAACACTACACATGCAAAGGGAACAACATCCTGCTAACACAACTTCATTTGCTGCTGCATTTGTCTAATATTAACAATTATGAACAGGGCAGTGCAACTAGTATTTGGAACAATCCTTACAGTGTTCGAGTGTCAGGCACAAAACTTCACTTCTCTTCACACCACTGGTTCTCTTTACGTACCTGCAAGAGCAGTTAACTGTCAGTATGTGGCAGTGACATTCTAAGCCTTTGGCTGTAAATACCCATTCAGGATTATTTACTGCACAGAGACAAACTTGGAGCAGCTTTAGTTTTTCACACAGATTTTGCAATTATAAAATCCATCTTCCAAACTGGCCTGTTTATCAGTGTAAGCCTGGTTTTTCATGCCTAGGTTTGATCAAATCTGAAATTTTCCAACCAAGTAAAGCAAATGGATTACCTGAAGTCTAAGCTATTTATAACATAGCATTGAAAAATACCCTCAAAAATCTACAACTCATTGCCCTGTACTGAAACCAGGCATCATGTTCTGCTTTCTCCCCAACTCTGCCATTTTGCAGTTGGTTTGCTGGTCAAGTTTTAAGATCAATGAGTTTGTTACTTAGAGAAGCCAAACTTACCTCTCCAGCCACATGCAGCAATACACCTTCAGCATTCCCATGATAGCCCCAAACCAACAAACTAAGACTGCCACACACAATCCTACCTGCTTTCTTATTAAACATGCTGGAGTTAGAAAAATCAGTATATCTTGTTTTGACCTTTACAGGTAATGGGCTGCAAGCATGGTAGACACCAAAATGTCTTCTGCTAGCAGCACCCCAATTATGAGGAGTTGATGCATTAGTTTACATTGATTGATAACAAGTTTGCTGCATCACAAATTGAGTTATGAAGCAGCACACAGTAATTCAGCACCAACAGTCATCTAAATTATAATTTAACCCAGACCAAGTACCTGTGCTTCTTCCTCTTCAGTGAAGTCATTCTTAATATTGAATGTCTTGCGAATTTCTTCTGGAGTTTTACCCTTGATCATGTTTGCCACTGTCTTGCACGTGACATCCAGCAAACCTTTGATGTCCAAATAATTTGCAGCCTGTGAAAGAGTTTTCAGATTTAAAGCCTCCATATCAATATTCTGTATCATTAGATGCACTACAGAAGTTTACACCGAAATTTTAGAATACTGTGTGCAAACAGATCATCCCCACTTTGAGAAGCTTCTAGCTAAAACCTTCAGGACAGTACCTAAAACTTGCTTGCCAAATAGAAGGTAGTCATTTGTACCATGAAAAACACTCCTCCTGCTCCACCCTTAACAAATAGCTTTCAGAAGTCTGCAAACATCCAAGATCTTCAGTGCTGCAGTACTTTTAACCAGCAAAGGCAGGTAATGTTGGCTCACAGCTCCATACACAGTACAAATTTAACAGTCAAAGTCAGATTTTCAGTTTCATGCAGATCTCCAGAACTCTGTAACTAGCAATAAGCCCTCAACTTGGGCTTGAGAGCAACAAGAAAAAACAGTGCTATTTAGTAAAGTATTTTGATTGATGAGTGAGTATAGCATATATACTAACATTAGGCTAAAAGCACTCCAACATCCTCACCAATTTCAGCCAATACTCACCAGAACCACCTGCCCTCCCCCACATCCCCCCTTTCCAATGAAGAAGTAACTCAAGAAGCATAAAGGCTTTATTTCTCAGGTGCATAACTTCACAGGCACAGGCTTTGCCCTTCTTGAGGACACTCACCAGGATAAGTTCAAAAAGTGTTCCTTGGTCTACTTTCAGAAACTCTTGATCCCACACAGGGATGTCATCTGTTCTCTTCTCTTTGTTCTCATCATCCTCAGGAGGAGGTGGATCATCCTTGTGATGGGTGCACCACTGAATCACCTAATTATGGTTTTGATATTAAAGTTTTATCCAAGTGATTCTTCCATGAAACCCCAACTATAACTTAACTTTATTTTGGAATAAATTAGAACAATAGATCCCCAATCCCAGAATACAACAGCTTTCAGAAATCCCAAATGATTTAGTAGCATGTAAATTAATTAATCTTAAAAGCCAGCAGCTGGTGCTATGAAGTTATAGGTCCCTGTGCTAACATACATGGGCTGTACAAAGAAAACTTAATCCTCATTTTGCTGTATTTAATGTGTTTGCAGAAACATACTTTGTATTAAGCAGACACTGCACAGGGAAAGGGAGCAGAGTGGTAACAGCTACCAGCAGGTCACATTCACCCCAGTACAAAGTTCAGCCAGCAAGTTTGCCATTATTAGTGTTCATTTGGGGTTTGTTTTGTTGGGTTTTTTTTAGTTTGGGAACATGCAATCTCATGACCCAGACATAGAAAAGAAGCAGGGATCTACTGCAAGCAAACTCCTGTTCCATTTCACCAACCCAAGAGACTTCACAAATTTAAGTTATTTATGTGTCTGTTCACTGGGAAACAATTCCTAACCCTATATTTACCCCAAAACAGGCACAGTGGTCTGGTGCTTACTTTGGCACTATTTGAAAGCATAAAGAATCTTGGACATCACACAACTACAACTTTCTCCCTTAACCCAATGACCATGGTCTGTTAATGAATTTAACACCACACAGTGTCCCTTAAGCACTGTCAGTGTCAGTCACTCTCACCACTGCCTGTCCCTTAATCCTTTCTCCAAACATTTGCATCTCATGAACAGCCACCTCAGTTCACAGAATCCAATTAAAGCCAGTGCTTTAACACCATGAAATGCCAGTGTGCAGAGATGCCCAGCACCACTTCCTCAGGAAGCCTGTCGGCCTTACAGCTGCTGTTCCAGGTCACCCCTGCACACACTCTGCCATCACCCACCTGCCTCAGCCCACACACCCACGTTCATGCACCTTGATTTGGTTAAGCTTGCAACACATGGAAAATATTTTCTAACTAGTAGTTCATAATACCCAACTCCAAGATGAATTTTACATTTCTTTACTGCCATGGAGCACAACAGCTTTCACCATCTTACCTTTTTTAAGATGGCTGCATTAACATTTGGAAGAGGGACTGGGTCATCATCACCTTCATCATCCATTCCCAAATCTAAAATGGAAAAGACAACTGAGCAATTGGCAGACAAAAGCATTTACTGAACTAGGATGCTTCATCAGTTCTTCACTATTTTGACAACACTGAGGTTGAAGACTGGTAACAAAGGACCTCTAAACTGTGCGGTAAGGAGCTTTTGGAAGGCTGTGTGGAGCTATGGCTGTACCAAGCAGAGGCTAAGTGGCTGATAAGGCTGCCTCACCAAATGACAGTATCTACACAACATCAGCTAAGCTGTCACTTGCTAACTCAGTGCTCTGAATCTGAACTCAGATGCTGAACAATCTGACAAACATTTGTGTATTTTTACCACTTACACAGTTTCAACACACAAGTTCTAACTTGAGGGCTCCCATTCCATTAATGATTAAATAAGAATTCAATCTACTGTGGTAAACAGACACAGCATCTTGTCCTCTGCATGAGCAGGAAATACTGTAGCCACACAAGTGCTGCTCCCAGGCTCTGAATCACTCATATTGATCCTGTACCAGCTGAAGAAGTTCACATGGTAAGACAGCAGCACAAATCCTTCCATCAAAAAAAAAAGCATTTATAAAGCATGTTTCCAACACTCCTTGTTTTAAAAGTTTAAAAATATCCAGAGAGATTTGGATTTGTCCCCTTGATATGACCAAGGAATCAATGTAAAAAGAAGGAGAAAAAGATAATTAAAGTTTCAGCTTGATACACAGAACAAACACCACATTAGCCATCTTTGATTAAAGAATGTGCTTTTTTTATTACCCAAATGCTAACAGTTGGATGACACCCTAGCTGTCAAAGACATCTTGGAATGAGTTATGTAACTGACTAACAATGCAGACCTTCACTCATTACATGCACAGATGAGCCAATTCTACATCACCAAGGAACCAAATTTTCAAGAACATACGACCATCATCACGCCTCAAATCTGTACGTGATAAATTCATGTACTTCTGTATTTAGACAAGTCTGCTACTGCTGCTATCAGTGGGATGCTAATTAACATTGCTTTTCTGTTTGAAATTACTCCACAGATTCAGAACTGAAACACTGCCATTAAAAGATACTGAAATAATTCAAGCAATATCTGAACTTCAGTCAACTCTGACTGACTTGTCACCATCACCTCTGAACCAGCAATTTTATCTGTTAGCAGAAAATGGGCATTTCAATGGTGGTCCCACGGTGCTCAGTACAACCCAAACTTTCAGCTCCTCCTCTCTCAGCTGCAGCACCCAACACACAAAACACTACCTGATGCTCAGCCAGCTGCACTGAAAATGCCTTTCACCTGTGCTAGCAGACTGGTTCTCTCCCAGGTTAGAAAGGGGCAAGTTTATGGTGCCCAGCTTTCACACTTCCCATGAATAACTTCCCTCTATCTCCAACACTGGCACAACTCCTGTAGGAGAAAACTGAGAATTGTGCACCCTAATGCATTCCATTTCCTGTTTGTGCTGCCAGCCATGTTCAACAGCATCTTATTAACAGAATAGAAGCATTCAATGCCTGACATTCAATCTTATTTTTACTGTTCTCATAAGGTGTTACAACCAAACATTTACATGCAAGAGCATAATATTAACTACATGTACAGAAATAATTGTTCCTAAGTTAATTCATGAATACATCCAGAAACTAGGAAAAGGCACCAGTAAACAATGAGGATCTGCACTGGAGGGATCAGACAGTTTGCTCTGTATCCCAGCCATCTGGCACATTTCCCCTCCCCCGCCACGAGTTCTTTTGTTTCAAATTTATGTCAGCGGGAGATCAGACCTAAGTATTTATCCCAAATAATTTACCAGCATTCACAACTCACAATACAGGTTTAAGTTCAGCTCTTTATTGCATTGATTTAGTATCTCCCACTCCATACAAGTGATATTTACCTCTAAGACTGGTTTGTGCAATTAAATAAACTGAAGTTTTAAATATTATTAATGTTCTGTTTGCTTAACTCTCACAAAACTGAAGCAGACTGTAGGCAAGGCAGTGGGCTGCTTGTATTTTACTGCCCTCCCTACAAGTGCTCTTAACCAGGGCTTTTTCCAAGAGCACATCCACCCTGAGCAGTTTCAGCTACAGCAGAGTTACAGCTGTTTCAGGCAGGAGACAGAAGCTGCTCCATAGGCCTGGGAATCCTTTTTCAGCACAGCACCAGCTTGTCTCAGTTCCTGTGCAAGAGGCTTCCTCAGGGTCTCACACTCTTACCTTCCAGCATGGTCTTTATAGTCACAGACTGCTTTGCAATTTCCACATCAACTTCAAAGATTTCTCCATCTGAGCTCTGCAGTTTAATTGAAGGCATCTACAAGAGAAGGACAGTTATTTCCACACAATGTTCAGATGTTACATGTTCAGCTGACTCAAAGATGTGCATCACCTTTACTGCTGAAATTGTTTCTTCCCAACAGCAGACAGCCCAGTGCTACTTAAGGTGCACTCAGATTATTCACTCCTTGAATCAACAGCTCTAAATTCATTAATCCTCATGTTCAAGAAACAAGGATTGACTGAAGTCTAACACAAACTCATTTCTTTTTTTAACTTGAAAGCATAAAACACACAGATTAGTCAATAGTCCTTTTTTTTTTTCCAGTATCACACTACAGCTATCTTTCTCTTGAACAAAACTTCAACACTTCCAAAACACCACTTGCCTTCAAATCCAAACAAGTGCCACTCACTTCAACTGCTCAAACAATGTCAGATCTCAACAGCAGCTTTCAAATTATAGCCTCTGGAACAGAATCCAGAGGTTGGGAGGAATTCCTCTAGATGGGCCAGTCCAGCCTCCCTTGCTCCAAACAGAGTTAAACAGACCAGGTTACTCAGGATCAAAGGCTTTCCTCCAGAAAAGTGTTTGGTTTTCTGAGGAGATTAAAAAGCAATAAACTCCTACAAGGAAGGCCTTCAGCACTCACTACTGCCCTTGCAAAGCAGGAAGCAAGACCAGTACTTTGTTAGCATCTGAGACAACCATGCATTTTAACAAAATTCCTGAAACAAACTGTAGTAAGATCTACAGTAAACAGGCAGCAGGCTTGAAAGATGTCATTAGCAAAACCACAATCAAATTCTACAAAAAAGCATCATTCCAGATATGTAACAACTGAAACCCAGAAGTGAAGCACATGACACAGCTCCAGGAGATTACAACCTCTGGCTGACACTACACATGCAGACTGTGGGGTGTCAGTGCACTTGAGCCAGCCGAAGGACAATATAAACACAACTGTCTGGCCACATAAAATTTATAAATTTGTTCTCAACCAGCTAGTAGGATGTGTTGTAAGTTCCTTTACCACACAAAATATTTGTCAGCAGCAAACCATTGCAACAGTTTCCTTTCTTTTTGGTCCTCCAGTTACCTGCTTCAGGATCACTGAAGCATGTGTTTGCACAGCCTACAACTACTGTGAACAGCTCTGGGAACAAAGAATTTCAAATGCAATTAAACTGCCAACCAAACCAAACTTACCGGCTGCACACACCAGTGCCCCACAGTAGTACCTGAGCTATCAACAGTTAATTAACTGGACCACTCGAAGCAAACTTGCATTGCCTCTTTCTGAAAGCTCAGGGCTCTGTGTGGCTGAGCCTGACAGCCCCGTGCAAACCTCGGCCAACACGTGTTATTGAGCAGCCCCCACCAGCGCCGAGTCCTCATTGCTTTAATTTCCATTTGGCAGGGAGCAGGCAGTTAATGTTTACACAGCAACGTAACCCTATATGACAGTGCTACTTCTAATTAAGATGGGTGTTCTGGAGGAACACAGTCATGACTATTCCAAAGGTACAAGTGTGTGCATATATATAAATATATATATATATATATACACACACACACACAGAGAATCTGGGCTACAGCACAGCTCTGCGTTAGCAGTTTGAATGATGTTTGGGAAAAGTGCTGTAGGCACACATTTTAAATTTAATGCATCTGTTTTTGCAGTGACTGCCTGGGAGCACTCCAGAACAAACCCAGCTCCATCGGCAGCCTCCCCGAGCCTGATCTTACATAATGCTGCACAGCAGAGCCAGGCAGGGATGCTGCCTCAGCCAGGGGAGCCCCAGCAAGGATATTCCCCTCCTATCAGCCAAAGCTGCTTATTTATAACAACACCTTCATTTATTGCTGAAACAAGTAGAATGAAGTTAAACTACTGCCTTGTCATTGACAACACATCAGAATTTCATCGATTTTTTTTTTAACACCACTGAACTCGATTTCCTAGAAAACAAGAAAAAAACAGAACTAATTTTTAGCAAGCTGCAGTACGGCTCCGGCAGGTGACAGTCCCTGGGCAGCAGCACCACTGGGTGACTAAGCAAACCAGTCCTAAAAGCTTTATTTGACAACAGCAACAACAGGCTGGGAGCCGAGCTCAAGCCAAACCTGAATTACAGCAGTAATTTACTCGGCTAAGCCTGAAACGCCGAGCTCAGCCACCTCCAGCCGCGCCTCCCAGCGCCATTCCGGGTGGATGCCCGCCGCTTCCCCCCCGCTCCCGGTAACCAGGAGCCAGGTAACGAACCCGCACCTGAGGCGCGGCCTCACGGGGGCGGGGAGGGGGAGGCACAGCCGCCCAGGGGAGGCTCGGTCTGCTCCGAGGCTTCGCTCACCGCCCCCGCGGGCAGCGCTGCCCACGCCGCCCCCGCGGGAGCTCCATCCCCGCACGGCGCGGGCCCAGCGCACCCCGGGCGCTCCATCCCCGCACGGCGCAGGAGCGCTCATCTTTCCGCCCGCCCCAGCCCCCGCCATCACCCCACGGCCTGCCGACCCTCCGTCCGCGGCAGAGCCGGGCCCACCGCGCCCGCACAGCTTCCAGCGCTGCCCCCGCGCCCCCCCGGCCCGCTCGGGCCTCACCGTGAGGCGGCGGCGGCTCCGCGGACGGACCGTGAGGAGGCGGTGGCGGCGCTCGGGCCCGACTGCGGCGGCGCTCTTATAGCGAGCGGGGGAGGGGGGAAGGACCCGCCTCCCGCCGCCTCGCAACGCCCGGGCTGCCCGCCGCGAACGCCTGAGCAAAACACCGCACCGCGGCTCCCGAACGGCGAAATCCGGTACTCGCGCTGCCTTCCGTGAGGTGCGGAGCGGGGAGCGGAGCCGAAAGGGGTTCGACGGGAAGGTGCCGCCGATGGAGGGTTTTTCAGGCAGCGACGGAGCCGCGCCAGAAGCCGCACAATAGAGAGGCCAAGGCCCCTCCCCGCGGGCTGAGGGAGCGGGCCCGGCGGGTCCGGCCCGGCCCTGAGGGCACCGCGGGGATCCGGGGGTGGCGGGGCCGGGGCCGGCTCGGTGCCCTCCAGCGGGCCCGGCTGGCAGGGCCTGTGGGGAAATCGGTCTCGGTAACCCGGGCTCGCCCCACAACGCCCACGGTGCTGCTTTCCTTCGGGGGGGAAAGGCGGGGTGATGCTGCCAGTATCTCTGAAAGCTTCCCGCAGGTAAACACGGTGAAATCCCATCGCCAGGTGCTGCTCCAGAGGCGGAAGGCATTTTCGCAGAAAAACAACATTGAAGAACCGGCTAGCTTAAAATAGTTCCAACGTCAGAGAGCCTTGCTTCAGTGGAAATACGTGCGGGAGCTTTCATGGAGCCAGGAATGGATTTAGCTCCGAGTGGTGCTCACAGAGCTCAGTGGTGCTCACAGAACACCTGCCCCGGGTGCTGCCAGGAATTCAGGCAGCTCTAGCTCAGCCCTTGAAAGCATCTCCGAACCCCAGCTGTGCAAGGAGCCCCGGGCCGAGGAGCAGAGCAGAGCTGGGCACCCAAACCTTTGTGTTAGCACAGCCCCACCTGAGCACTGCCCCCAGCACGGGTGACAGCTGATAAGTCACCTGTGGGTGCTGGAAAGCACCAGGTACAGGGTTTTCAGGGAAATAAAAAGGTATGTGAAGGGTTTTGCATTGTGAGGAAGGGCAGGGTAAGAGCCCTCATGTCGCTGTCACAGCACACACTGTGCTCTGCTGCTGAGCCCAGCTTTGTGTCAGCTCTCCATGGCAAAATGGCTTTCAAATAGGCAAGGTATTTACACAGTGACAACACAGGATTCTGACAATTTGCTTTACTTCCAATCCTAAACAAAAATGTTTAGGAAGCAAAAAGCATGTTCTCACATCACTCCAATGAAGACACAGCCAGGGTGCCTGTAAGCACACTGATACCTGCAGCAGCACCACACTGCAGAGTGCAGCATCATTTACAGCCTCAGGAGGTTCAGAGGAGGTTCAGCTTGGACATCAGCAAGGATTTCTTCCCTGAAAGGGTTGTTAAGCACTGGCATGGTAGTGGAGTCACCATCCATGGAGATGTGCAAGAAACAACTGAACATAGCCCTGAGTGCTCTGCTCTGGTTCACAAGGAGCTGATCAGTCAAGGGTTGGACTTGGCAATCTTGGAGATGTTTTCCAACCTTATGTTGGAAACCAACCAACCATTCCAAACCAATGCTTCTGTGCTTAGTCACAGGTTTCCCATATCTTGGGGTTCCAGAGAGTTCCAGGCTGTGCACCCCACATGTTAGGGAACAAATCCTTATTTTCTAGACACACTGGAAAATATTTTCTAACATGAAGAATTTTCCCAGGACTCAGAATTTCTTAGTTTAGAATCTTGTTTTGCCCAGTTCAGTAGCCCAGCCTGGCCTTGGACACTTCCAGGGATGGGGCAGCCACAGCTTCTCTGGGCACCCTGTGCCAGTATCCATCTCACATAACAAGTGAGACTACAATTAGAAAATATTCAATGTTAAAATGTTAAGTACCTTGTTCTTTGGGCTGTTTCTCTGGAGAGATGGAACACTCAAATAGATTCTCAGCCAGAAAGGACCTCCTAGAGCTCAGCAGATGGCCTGGGAGTTCTACAGAGCATATCACTTAGAAGAGGCCTCTCTGTAAATTCCAAAGAACTGTTGAGGTGACTGCCTGACTTGAGAAGTTTATTCTAGGGGCTTTAGGATGCTGAGCAGCTTGCTAGAGCAGATTTGGATACAACTCAGAGCAATCTGATCTCTCTTTGCAGGTGGATCCAGGTCACTTCTGTGGTCCCTTGCAGCCCAGATTACTGTGTGCCGCCCTGAACTCACCCTAAGAGCTGAGGGAGCAGCCAGGTGATGCTTGGCAGCAGACTTGGACACTAACAGAAGTTCCTCAGAGATCCTGGTGTTGATAACCACATAAGCTCTTTGTTCACCATTGAATGAGACCTAATTTTCATTTTTAATTTATATGTATCTCATATGTAAGAGTGTGAAACCTCCAGACTACCTCTAACATGACTTTTTGATTGTACCACCATCACATTTACCTCTTTCTTCCTCAATCACACCAGCTCATACTCCAGTGCTGAAACCACATTCAGTGCACTAAAAACCATTGCCTTTATTTTCCTTAAATGATTATTTTTTTATTTATGTTAAAACTCCTTGATTCAGAGAATCAGACAATAAGAGAAGGTGGCCAGTGAAAAATCTGTCTACACATCCTAAATCCCCTTTCCCCATGTGGCCAAAGAGCAAGGTTTCTGATTTGGCTGGTGACCAGCAAGCACAAGCTCACAGACTGCAAATCAGGCTCAGCAAAGGGGGGATGGGGTTTGCTCTCAACACAAGACAAATCTAATGGAATCTAGGAACAGGCAGAAAGCTAAAGTCCATGCTTAATTATAGTTGTGGATAAATTTAATTCAAAATTATACTGCTGATTACACTTGGTACAGCTCTCTACAGCTTTCCAAAGGAGGAAATTCCATCCTCAGTGAACTTTGAAATCTACCGTTGAATTAGAAGTTTGGGAAAGTTAAAACAGCAAAAACACCCCACACCCCAAAAAGAGGCAGATGGCTGTGCCAGATATGCAATAATCACACACAGCACCTCCCACTGTGCCCTACATATCACACAACCACCCTGGCCAGCCCCTCCCGTTATCTGCTGGGGAAAGCAGCTGCTGCAGCAGCGATAGCCCAGCTCCTGTGGGCCAGTCAGTGGCAGTGGCACAAACCCCAGCCCTGGTTAATCTGCAAGGCAAAAACAAGATTGCTTAAAAAGGAGGTGGCCCAATTTCAATTGTTCTGCACTCAGGTAGTGATTGCACTGCAAGTAATCCTAAAGCTGAGCATTTCTCCCCTGAGTGCAATCACACCAGCACCAGCCACGGGTAAGTTACAATTAAGGGCCTTTGACCACTGAGAACATGGAGGAGGAAGGGAGCAGCTTAACACCAAAGCAAATACCTGAAAAGATTGGAGCAACTGAGCTTGATTTAATGCTTAATCAGATCCAGAAGAGCCCTGACCTACATATTCACAGCATCCCTGGGCTGCAGGCACAGCCAGTTGAGCAGCCATGCAGCCGCAGGGGGAGGGAGTTTAACGTGCTGAACGTGAAGGAGCAGCCTCCTGGACACAGCATCTGCTCCACAGCCTCGTGTTCCCTTCTTGGATGCTTCTTTCAGGCATAAATTAATGTGCTCCCCACTCTTCAGAGCACCTCACATTCCACTTTGACAGAGAAACAGGATTTTTTTAGCTGCTGGTGGTGATTTAGAGACCATGGAGATAACACACTGATTATTTTTCAATACAAATGTGATGTGGCATTGTCAAAAATCTAATGACAATCAGGCTTGAAAGAGCTCAGCTTTGCTCCATCAACAAATTGGGAAAATCCACAGGAAAAAATCCACAAAACCCATCCTGAGGGAGAGTGAGCCAGGGAGAGCGCCAGGTCTGACCACAGAATCTGAAAAATAACCTAATCTACATGGTAGGGGAGAATGAGACTTGCTGCAGAAATCATCCTTTTTTTTTTTCAGGATTACAAAAGATGAGGAGCATTTTTTAAAACAAGCAGCCACATCAAGTTTGAAAATAATTGAACTGATTGGTTCAGTGTAAAACCAGAAAACATCAGAATTATTCATGTGAGAGATACAGTAGAAGGACACTGCTGAGCTCAAAGGCCTGGGCCACTGTTTTTTAAAATAGTCTTGGAACAATGCAGCAGCAGAAGAGGAAAATTCTTGTTCTCAGTACAAGTCTGAAAAAGCTAATTATTGCATTTCCACTTCATCAAAATTTGCCTTAAAGCAGCATCCTTGAGACGGTGTCACTTTTCACAGATGTACCCCAGCAATGCAGAATGGTGGGTGGCAGAGCCCAGCACCTAGGTGAGAGTCCAGCCCAGAGAATCCTCAAATGGTTTGGGTTGGCAGGGACCTTAGAGCTGACCTTGTTCCAGCCCTCTGCTGTGGACTAGACCAGGTTGCTCAAGGTCCCATCCAGCCTGGCCCTGAGCACTTCAGGGATGGGGCAGCCACAGCTTCTCTGGGCAGCCTGTGCCAGGGCCCCACCACACTCACAGGCAAGAATTTCTTCCCAACATCCAATCTAGTCCTGCTCTCTCTCATTTAAAGCCATTCCCCCTTGTCCTGTCACTCCAGGCCCCCGTCCCAAGGCCCCCTCCAGTTCTTTTGTAGCCCTTTTAGGCACAGGACTGAGACTTGGCCTCTCAGGTCTGTCCAGAGCCTTCCCTTCTCCAGGTGAGCATCCCCAACTCTCCCAGTCCAGCTGCAGAGCCGAGGGGCTCCAGCCCTCAGAGCATCTCCAGGGCCTCCTCTGCTGTTGCTCCAGCAGCTCCATGTCCTTCTGACATTGGGGATCCCAGACTGACAAAACCCAATAACCAAATCCTGTCAACAGACACCAAGTGAGATTTTTTTATCAGCTTCTATTCCTTCCTCTAACAGCACTCCCATTCCCCTTATATAACAATGAGGATTCGAGATAGTTTAAAAAACTGAAGATGAAGAGGAGGAAGACTGAAAATAGAAATACCTACCTCAAACCTATTTGCAGCACCTGTATCCTAATCTCACCATCACTCCACCTCCCCATATTTAAACAGTGATTTCTGTACCAGTTCTGCCTTGGCATCCTCTGAAATCATTGGGAGCACTGTGGGGGAGCCAGGCCCAGATCCTCTGGCTGCCAAGGGCAAGGGTAACCTGTAGGGGGATAGAATATAAGAAAATAAAGATGGTGTAGAAAGTAATCTCACCCCTAAGGAGTTGCAGCTGGGCCAATTATCAAAGATTAGGAGCAGGCCTGACTTTAACAGGCCCCAGCTGTGACCAGTGAGACGAAGATGCTGTAAATGAGTGGGGTGGCTGGGTGAGAGGGAACTGGAGTTAGTGGCTGCTTTATGAAGAAGAAAGAGTCAGTGCTCTGACAGCTGCCCACGAGAAACACCAAGAAGGTTTGGAACTTTTGTGACAGGAGACAACAGCATGGAACCCCTGCAATGAGATGACAACAGTCACCCACCTGCAGCCCGTTGGAGCCGCTCCATGTCAGCCTGGCCCGCGGCAGAGCCGCTCCATGTCAGCCTGGCCCACTGCAGAGCCGCTCCATGTCAGCCTGGCCCACTGCAGAGCCGCTCCATGTCAGCCGGGCCCACGTCAGAGCCGCTCCATGTCAGCCGGGCCCACTGCAGAGCGGCTCCCGGCCCGGGCCGGTCACGGTGCCCGGTGCCGCCGGGTGGGCAGCGCCACGCGGGGGCGCCGGGGCTCGCTCCGAGGGACGGGAACTCGGCGAGCTCAGCCCCGCAGAGGCGCTCCCGGGCATTCCCGGGAAAATGGAAAGGGCAGACTTTCTGTAGGTGGCCTTGAGAACGACCTTCAGTGGTAGCGTATAAAACTGTAAAAATCCTTGATATAAACACAAGGGGAAGGGAACTGGCTTAGCTTTACAGGGCTGCCTGGCACTGGTCTCCAACGCCGGAGCCGTTCAAAGTCCAAAAAGCAGATTCTGGGCTGGTTCTGATGCCACAGATGATAACGAAGCAGCTGCTTTGAGGTTTCAAAGTCCATGGGAATAAATACAGTGTGTTTCAGAAGTCAGCATTTTTAAATGCATTCAAAACATTTCAAAAGGAGATTCCAGGGGAGAAAGGGACAGTCCAATAACATTTTGAGATGGCTGAGCTAAAGCTGGATAAACTCATGACCAGACAATCAGAACCTATCACCAGCGTTTCTCTCTCTCCCCGGAGGCCGTGGCACCCCCTCCCCTGGGACTGTCCCTGCTCCAGCAGCAGCCGGCTGTGTTCCTCTTCCCCGAGGACAAACACAGCAGTGGAAAAGGAGCAGAGCTGCCTGAAAAGTGGGTCAAGCGTGGAATGAAACACCCACCATAGGATACTCCCAGGCAGGGCTTCTCCAGCCGTGTGCTTATCCCCCCCCCGTTTTCCTTATAAAATAAAGAAGCAGAATAGAGCAGCTATCACTGCCAATTCCTGCACTGATGCCACCATAAAGGTTTTTCACAGCAAGGTTTAGGGTTAGGCTGGCTGTACGGGGATATTTTCTCAAACTCCTGAAAAATAAAGGCATTTGGGAGCCAGGCTAAAGCTTTTCAGCCCAATCGATCATGCAATTATCAATGTAAACAGGACACTCCTCTTTTACAGTTCAACACTTTCAGTTTTAAATGCATAATCTGGAAAACAGTTTATAGATTTATTGAAATTAAAAATACAAACCAAAAGGACCTAACCTCAAAAAACCCAGATGTATTTGGGGGAATCTACTGAGGAAGATGTATACAGAAGTCAAGACAACCAAAAGCAAAGACTTAGTTTAATTTATACAACCTTGTGCAATGAAATGAGTAGATGCAAAACGGAGTGTTCTCCTCAAAATCACTTTCCTGCCAAGTTCTCATGTAGGATGCTCACCCTGATCATGCTGCTCCTCTTCCAATTAGCAGTCCCAAGTACTACTAGCAACTAATGTTTTATACATTATTTATACCAGCAGCAATCATTTTAGTCTCCATCTAAGTTCTGTTCACCAGAGAGTAATTAAGAGATCAGCAGTTCAACTCATCTTAAAGACTGAAGCTTTTAAGCTCCAGCACAGGTTTTAAAAGGCTAAAACTTGCAGCAGTGCTTAATTTAAAACCAAAAGTGTTGTTTCAGCCTTTTTTCCCTGTCCATATGCCAAAGCACTCTGGTCCCTTGCTCAAGAAAGCAGCCTGCCTTTATTGCCATCCAAAAGAACTAAAGCCAAATGAATTAGAGCACCAAAATAACTTTTTGTAAAACCACAGAAGGCTGACTCATGAACTGCTGACTCTGCAGAGCTTTGTTGGTGTGTTCATGGGTACTGAAGGATTTCTATGCAGTCCAGTGTGATTTTTACTAAACCCTTTACCTGTTTCCAACCTTCTCCCAGAAGAACTTGCAGAAAACCAATACTCTGTGTCATGATGCCATCGAACACAGAAGGCACCCAATGCCTTCTACAAGGCTTCAAAAATCACTGCTTGCAGACATTTCACTCCAAAAATCCAAGCACATACAAACCATGAGTATTACTGCAAAAAATGGAACATGTAAAAAGCCATTTCTAAGGCAAAATTTGCTGTAGCCTACACAGCAACCCTTAAAATACATTAAGAGTTTCCAGGAGTGCTCTGCATTCAGACAAAACAAGCAGCAATTAAAGCAATAAATGAGTGTGGAACAGGTGCATAAAGAGGTAATCAGAGTGGAGGCACATCTTCAACTCACTGAATTTGGAGCAGCATTTAATTTGAAATTCAAAATTATGATCACACTTACATCTTACAACCATTTTTCTTGAATGAGTGTTGAGTACTTATTCTTCAGCCCCCTCCCAAGGTCACAGCTCCTCCAAGAGCAGGAGCTGTACTCCACTATTGCTAAGGAAAAGAATGTGTTTATTGAACTATGAAAAAAGGCCCAAAATAAACCCAGCACTATCATAGCAGTTTGGTTTTGTCTTGTACAGGAGGAAATCCTTTAAGAGTCAGGATAAATTTTTAAATTGTCAGAGCAGAGACTTGTCCCAAGGTCCTTGAAACACAACTGCTTTCTAAAAAGGACTTGGTGCTTCAGTTTACTACTATAAAAATCAAAATAAATCCCATGGAACATGAATTGGTAGGTATTGGCACCTCTCAGCAGATTTCTGTCACTAGAGGAGCTTTGGACAGGAACTGGTCCAAGACAGAGGTAGGTGAAATGTCACAGCTTCCATTGGCAGGATGTCCCCTCAGCACCTTTTTCACAGAGCAGAATTTGTTCTGTTACAGACACCTGGGGAAGGAGGCAACGCTCTCTGCACTCCCCCACACATCCAGCATCCTGCCAGGGTATCATCAGAAGACCTAAACCAGGTAACATTGCCCAAGCACTTGGGGCAGGGATACTGAATGTGTACAGCAGCATCAGCAGCTAAAACAATCCAAAATGAGCCCCAGGTGAGAGTCACACACGTTCATTACCTTGGACAAAAATCCACCTGCAGCAGCAGCTTGGGCAGCAACAGAGCAGGGACTGGGGCAGCAGCCAGCCCCAAACTGCAGGGATCTGTGAAGGGGGGGGCCATAAGCAGAGGAACAAGGGTGGAAATAGGCAGAAGAAAGGTGTAGAAAGAAGGTGAAAGAGGGAAAATCTGGCAAATCGATACACCTCTATATATATAGAACACATATTTTGTCTGGTTTTGATTTAATAGGCCCTTAGTTCAGCACAGGCCAGCAGCAGTTTAGGGTGCTCACTTTGATATGACATGGCCAATGACTTAAGTAAAATGGAATTTGGGAAGTTCAAAACCCTCCTCCTTTGTCCATCAATATTCTCCTGGCTCTATTCAAGTTTTGAGAAACAAGTAGAAAGAGAAAGAACAGCTCTCAGAAAAGTATAATTTCATTCCCAACTGCCTTCTGATACCCAAACCCCAATGTCAGCCCTCCCCACTAAGGACTGTGTCTGACATTTCCCCTTCAACACTGAACCAGCACAATACAGGAGTTCCAGCTGTGCCTCTAGTTTGTATTGCATGGAATGCAGCAGGCATTGTGGGGATGGGAGGAATTACCAGTGAGCTCCAAAACCTGCTCATTTCTCTGCAGCCACCATGGTCACAGGCTGAAGTAAAGGAAGTTTTCTGCAGGTACCCATCAGCTACCAATAAATCAAACCCCAATTATCTGTATCTTTGTTTCTTCTCTTGCATCTTCCAAACATGAGTTCAGCTCGTTAATGCTCCATCACAGCAACGTTATCTTTTCTTCACAATGTGGTTTTTGCACTGGAATCTTCACACAGACCATCACAACATAATTATAGAGGAAAGCACAAAAACTGGAGTGACTCCAACATTGTCCATGGACTTTACTAACCACTTGGATTTGTGTACAGAAACTGAAGCAAGGAAAGGACTGCTCCCTGCCAGAGCAGATGAGTCACACCAATTAAAGCAACAAGGAAAGCAGAAAATAGGGCAAAGTCATTCCTTTTGAAGGAATGGTGTCAATGAAAGCACAAAGTCTCATCTACACAAACACAGAGAAAGACAAGCGACAGGAATGGAACGTGAACTACTCTCAGCAAAGGATTTTTTTAATAGTGATCAAAGCAAAAGCTCCCAATATACTAAAAAAAGCCACTTCAGATGCACTTATTTTTAGCATGCACTTCTTCCTGTAAGAGATCAAACTACAACACTGAGGTCTCCAGGAGCCACTTGGAACCCAACCTACAGGACAAGGCTCAAATTTTGCTGAAGGAAAAGCAATGACTTGAGCCTTTCTGAAAGGGAATGAAGTAATGCTCGATGAAATGCAGCATCTTCTTTGCAAGTTAAAGAATTAAGTGGTCCTCCAGCTTTTCAGAAAATCATGTCTAGGACTAGACCTCCAGGTGAGTTGGACATTTGCAAAACTTCTGTGTGTTCCCTTAGAAACAAGCAGTTTAAAAAACAAGCCTCCATGTTATTACAGAATCTACATTGCGCCCAAGAAACTTAAAGTCTCAAACAATATGAATATTAAGAGACCTTATACTAAGTCAACAGCCAGGTACATGATTTAGATGTACCCAAGAAGTTTCACACACAAGCTTTAAGAAGGCGTAACATTTGAATTTCTGCTTTGAACGAAATCATCAAATATGGGTTCAAACTTTAAGGAAGTTAGTAGAAAGGAAATACTTAAACAGAAGTTAACATAAACCACATACCACTGTTTTTCAGAATGGAAGCCTGGGCAAATACACGTAGCACTAAACTTCAAGTTGTTTCCTTTAATATTTACAAAACTGGTTTTATTCTTAGTTTTTCAGAAAAAATGGTTTAAAGTATTAGCACCTACATTGTAAATGACTCAAACTTAGATTTACACTTGAAATAAAGCCACAACGCAATCAGTTAAGTGAACTTATATTCTTCCATTTCTGAGTATTTCAGTAGAGCACCAAGAGGGAAAGAGCAACATGTGAGTAACCAGCAAGTGAGACACAGACCCAGGCACCTTCCTGGGACAGGATTCAGAAGGTCAGAGTTTTCCAGCACACTCCAAATCACCTCAGTTTTAGTTAGTTATAAGGTGGAAATTTCTATGCAAGTTTATAAAACCCATCCAGCTACATGTTAGTTTATTAAACCACAGTTGACCTGAGATGCAATTAGAATTTTGACATTTTTCCATACTTAGTTCACAAGTTTATTATGAAAAACACTGCAGCTCTGTCCTGCAGTAACATTGTTTTACAGAAAAAAACAGTTCTGTTCAAAGTAATTCACTATCCTTGAACAATTACAAGGGACAATATGGTAGGGCAGAGTGGAAAAGGGAACTGAGTGCAGACCAAAAAAAAAAAAAAAAAAAAAAAAAAAAAAATCAATACAATTAAATTAAACAGTATTCCCTGAAAATAAAACAAACAGTTTCAGAACAAATATGAGGCCTTGGTACTTATTTTAAAAATGTTCTTTAAGCTTCAATGATTGTTTGCTGCTACCCTTATCTACAGTCATGCTGAATAAAGCTATAGCTAAATGGAAAGTTAAATGTATTCACGAGGTGTTAATGTCTACATCTTATTATTTGCAGTCTCTCAGAGAAAGCAAAAGTAACTACAAATAGCGCTATGCCAGAAACTGGTTTCTTGACCAACAATGTTGCTTCAGCATGCAATGAACTGGTTCATTCTAAAGTGGTCACAGTTGTTGATGACAAGAGGCTTTGTACTGAATATGGCACGTCTTTTGGTCCATGTGAAAACAAAGTTTGAATGTTAAATATTTTCTGACACTTTGGAGTTACTGTTGCTCTTCCCATTTCCTTTAGGTCAACATATGGTTCATGGCAATACTGTACAGGTCTAAAATCTCTT